CACTGTCAAGCTTCCGTGCAGGACCATCCCTTTATTCTGGATATGCTACAGGTGTGTTAGCCTCATTCGCTCTCACCCGGGTTCTTGTGTACGACTCATGCAACACTGCATGATCACTGGAAGGTATGAGACTACCAAGAGCTACTACATCCTCATGGAGTACATCATGGGAGGGACTTTGCGTTCCGTTCTGCAGGCGATGACATGCATGGATGCATGGGACTTCGCAAGCAACACGAAAGCCACCGGCTTGTCAGTATGGGTTATCCTGATGACACTCGTATGTGCGGCCGTGTACTTGTAGCAGAACTTCGGCAACCCGATGTCATAAGCGAAAGGGTTCAGCAGCCATGGACATCCGATCTGATGTGATTCGACTGCTTTGGTTGACTTGATGGCAGCAGACAGTCGCTTTTGCTCTTTGCGTTCTGACAGGCTACGAAATACATCAGCCGTAAAAGATCGTAAAAGGTCCATTTGAGCTGCAACCGCAAACAACAAAACACCGAGTCCGTCCGTCGGTGGGGGACCTCTGAGTGGTTCAAAAATGAGCCTGGTAGAAGCCAGACGGACTCTGATGTTTTTGCTTGCCTGCTTCCACAAGCATCATGCGAAACGGCTTGGCATGTTGTTGTCGAATCGGACCAACGCGGCAGCAGGTTTGCACCCAGTCTGGAAGCATGTGAGACATCCCTGGAAGTGCAACACTGTCGACAGCCAGAAGTATGCCTGTAAACGCACGATGTGTGCAGATCGAAAGTTCGAGTCGCAAGACTCACACTCCGACCTTAGCAGACTCTAGCAACTCTAGCATCCTGCCCCCATCTCAATCTCTTAACGGAAGTTCTGTCGCTGCAAATTCTGTGCATCGAGTGGGCGACATGGCGAAGCAGGCGGAGAAGACGCTGCGGCGCGAAGCTGCGTGCTTCTATGCGGGCTCCCTGATCATGGTGTTGGAAGTGCTTCACGACAGGTGCTTCCAACTTTGCGAAGAGCAGCTTCGCAAAGCAGTAGCATGTGCCATGTGCCAGGAATATCGTTTATCGTGACCTGAAGCCCGAGAATGTCATGGTAGATGCCAGAGGCATGTTGCCAGTGTCTTGCTAGTGTATCCGCAGTTACCGGTGATCTCGCCTTGTTTGGTTGCTGAAGAGGCTATGTGAAGCTCATCGATTTTGGCATCGCCAAGCGATTGGACGAGGACCTATGCAGTGGCTTATTGTTGGTGGAGAGGTTTGTTTGACAAGAGCAGGATGGCCGGACGTTTACTTGTGTCGGAACTGCGCACTACATGGCTCCAGAGGCCTGATTCAATGTGGTCTGGGGAGGGAACAGCCAGTCGGAGTAGGGAGCTGTCAGGCCATTCTCAGCCGAAGAGAGGGCTACGGCACTGAGGCCCTAAGGGTCACGGTCGGAAACGTGATTGATGTCCAGTGTGTATGGGAACAGTGCTCACTCGTCCGTCCATGCTACCATCCAGCTCCTTAAATGCAACAGTGAACTCTGAAACAGTCCCATTTGCACTCGCTCTGGAGTGGAATGCTTCCCCATCAACCCAACGACCAGCCCGACCCCTTGCCGACATCCTCTTCAAACTCGATGGTACCGGGCGAGCGTGCCAAGTGCAGCGAACAATGACAGGTATCGACATCAAAAAGCATGGACTTCATGATGTCGCAGTCGGGCTCATGTCAGCTTGGCGTCGGCTGGTTGTTTGTTCCTCGCCGGACGGTGTTTTTGTATTTCCGACGCCGACAGTTAACGAAACGCTCTGTGGCTTCCACCACCCAGACAGAGCATGCTCGTAGGCTTCTGCTTCTCCTCTCATCCCCTCCTTCGCTTCATTCAAGAGCCTTTCTGAGCGCACGGCTTGCAAGAGTGCCCACTTTGATTTTTCCGCATGGTGGGTCCGAGTGTTCGTTCACGAAAGGTTGACACCTGGTCGCTGGGTGTGCTGCTGTTTGAATTTCTTTGTGGTCAGCATCCATTCGGAGCTTTCTTACATGACCAGCAGGCCTGGACCTCTGCACTTCCCAGTTCTAAGAAGTTCTTTGCTCGCCACCGCAAGGAGATCTTCGAAGCGGTATTGAAGCAGGCGATGTCACTGTGACTTTGCGCACCTTGAGTTCCCATGTTTCATCAGCCACAGATACCAAGCACCCCTGTGCCAGAGCTCTGGGCCATCATCGTAAAATCAGGAGCCGAAGAAACTGCAGTACTGGGCTGGGCGCCCACACGCAGCAGGGACATACCCAAACCTTCTCAAATCGTCCGCACACTCGTGCACTGACGTGCGCTGACGCTCTTGCTGTGCATGTGGTGATGTACTAGCAAGTGACACGTCAATGCAAATGCTATGGCTTCTTAAACAGAGCCGCACCTCACCTCTTCGCCTGAAGACAACAGAGGATGCATCTCGACTCGGGTCTTGTCCTTGCGCACTGAGGGCCCCGAGAGTCTTTCAACACACAGACAAACGACCAAGAACCAACAGTTTAGCATGGGGCAATCAACAGTTTCGAGCTTTGGGGCAACCGTTTGGCAGACAGGAAAGTCATGCATTAACCTTGACACTTCACTGACTACACAATTCGTTTGTTGAGGTTTTCGAGAGATGAGGGCTAGCAGCAACTCCCTGTCTCAGGGATCATGTTGTGAAATTTGCTGTCGCCCCGCTACAGGAGCTGGCCTTTCCCGATGCATACCAAGACCCTTGCGGGCGTCACCTGTTGCAGGTGGCTTCAGGTGCATATAGTTGTATACCTACCCTACAGTTGCGAGCCAGGAGATGTTGGAGAAGAGCCCCCAAAATCGACTTGGTGCCGGAGTGTTCGGTTGGGATGACGTCAAGGATCCTGACTGGGCACACTTATTTCTGCTGGCATTTTTGTAGGAGTGTGTGTTGTCTGACTGCAGGAACATGACTTCCTCGCCTGGCCCGGAGATGTGAGCCTGTTTGCCTGGACCCGAGTAGCTTGTGAATAGCTCTGTTCCAAAAATCATTGCCAAGCTTGAAAACGCAGACCTGTCTGGCTGGAGATTGATGCAAGGATTGCATAGTGGAGCGGATGGTTCATCCCCCACATGTTCCCAAGAGTGCAAGCTTCGTTGAACACTGTTCGCAGGCAGGGCCGAGTGCTAACTCATAAAGTGGTACTGGAGAGCCATTGTGAAGCGAAGGAGCTAACTTTCAACGATTGGCACGAAGAGAAGGAGATCGTGCGCAGCCGAAGGCGTGAGGGCGAATCGATTGCGCTGCATCGCTTCAAAGTTTCAAGATCGAAGCCCAATACTTGTGCACACATGCTATGCGGTCTTTCCCTATAGGGACGATGGAGAGCAATCAGGAAACGAGTAATCGCAAGGGAACATGGCAGCGGCTAGGCACCGGAACGGACAGGCCAATGAAAGGCCGACCAGGGCTCTACAGCAAGCCGAGCTCGAGAGAGGTGGAGCAGACACGGTAAGGAAGAGCCTCCAGTACCAGCGCATTCCCTGTCTCGATGGCCAAGCCAAGTCTAATGAACGGGAAGCTCAAACTTCAACGTCCAAGTGAGCAGGGCTATGGCACCAGCCCGCACAGAGCTAGAAGGAACCTTGGACCGTATTCTTTTGGGCTAGACTTTTCTCCGTGAGGCAAGGTGCTTCTTCCTTCGCTGCCTCGCGCAGACCTTTGTAGAGACTGCTGCGAAAGAATATAGATTCCGGTGTGCAAGGGAATTATGCGTTCGCTTTTGGAAGCATGGGGAAGTGCAGGGGACAAGTCTTTGTACACCACCGGGCAGTTTTCGGCATGGTGGGCAACACGACTTGTTGTACTGAGTGACATGCCAAAACGCATGCTGGGTTGCCGAGATCGGTCCAGAGCCTCTTCCATATGTAGCGCAGGACTGGCACCCTGCTCTAGCTAGGGACATGAATTTGCATTGTGTGCGTAGCTTGCACATCAATAAAGAGGGACTGTCGGCGAATTTTCTGAAGCACGGTGAGCACACAATCTGTCGTATCGAGCTGATCCGAGTTGAGAGACCGCAGATCGTCAATATCTCGTAGTCGTTTCGAGGCTTTGAAGCTTTTCGTGCACAGTCTTGCACTCTGGATTCCGCGCAGGAAGTGTGTCACGTCCAGATGAACCTCAAGACTGCAGTCGGTGAAGAGCGGCGAGGACTCGACCTCGGTCTAAGTCGAGAACGAAATCTTGGTTTTGCTTACCATTCTGGGCCAGGAGCTTGTAGAGTGGATGGGCGCCGACGTCGCAGCCGCAGCTTCTGTCGGAGCGGGCATAGCCAGCCATCGGACGTTCAATTGTATCAGTGACAGAACTGACGACCTCGTCCATGAAAGTTCCGGACATAAACTCATCAGGACAGACCTCGACCATCCTCGACCCATGCCATTGTAGAGTCGCAGTCGGATCAAGCAGGCAAGACTTCGAGAAACTTTCTATCCCCGACCCTGGTTTTGCAACTGTCATGTCTTGGAGCCGACCTGTCTCGATCTGCTTTCAGAACTCAGCCCTCTCTCTCTCTCTCTCTTTCTCTCTCTCTCTCTCTCTCTCTCTTCGTTCTCCAGTTCTGGGGGTCGGCACCGCTTCCGCTACCATGCAGCCCGGAGATCCGGAAGGGCCATCTTGGGGATAGTGCTGCCTGTGTTCCAAGGGATCGGCGGTCGCCTCCGGGACGCGTGCCAGGACCTGCATGGAACGTGTCTTCCGGGTTGCAGGCTAAGGTGAGGTTGGGGTTGGGTGCCTCTGTTGTTAGCGATGAGCTACTGACCGGCCACGATTTCAGCCTGCCTCAGCTTGCCTGCAGCAAGTCTCAGATTTGGGAGCTCCAGGTGGACAAATCTGCAGCTTTGGGTTCAAGCTTTGGACTCAACACGCCAGTGCTCCCAAGCAGAAAGCAGGACGACTTGCCGGCAAAAGAAGTACAGAACGGTGAGTGACGCAGGTTTGCTACGCTCTGGTTTTCTTCCACACTTCCCGTTTCGCTTGCTGAGCCATGGGCGGCAAAGCGAGCCAGCCTGAGCCGCCTAAGCCTGCTCCCAACCTACAGGCTCACGCCCCCTCCCTCCCTTCCTCGCCCTCCCCTCCCATCACACAAATTGGTAGATTGAAAGACAGGTAGGTTAGCTTGCTTCCTTGCGCAGTCTAATCTTCGTAGGCTCGCACGTGACTTGCAGCTCGGGGTTTCATGCGATTTGCCAGGATGCCGCGAGCAACTTAGAGCAGAAAATCGAAGAGCTCGGAGCAAAGATTCAAAAGGCTGATGAGGAGGCTCCACTCCCCGCTGCATGTGTGTTCCAGCGCTCAAGTTCTTCACTTCATCGCACTTGCAGGCGAGGCAATGGGTGGCAAAGCAAAGCAGCCTGGACTTATTCAGGGAGCTGCCGCATCAGTAGCTGGCTCCATGTCACAGGCTCCTCCACACATCCATCTGTACGGCAGTCTTTTCGTCGTGTAGCTCCAGTGGCACAGCGGCATGTGGCGCCTGATGTATCGAGGAGGCTCTTTGACCAAACACTGACCGCGAGCATGTTGGATGATGTGTGAATTAGTTCACCCTTTGCATCAGGCCAGGTACTGATGTGTTCTTCAAGCATAGAAGGTGAAACTGACACACGTGGTGCAGCAAGGGCAGGGTCTGTTGATTGAGCAGCATTCAGACTACTGCCCCTCGCAGGGTCAGGTTAGCACAAGCCTCAATCAACTTGAGGGTCTGTTGTGCTAGTAGTTCTGATTCATGCCAGAATCCTATGCAAGGTTCTTGCCTGCACTCGCCAAGGCACAGATGCAACTGCCAAAGCTCGCGCCATGCAAGCCTTGAAGCGCCTCTCGGCCTTTGCTCGAGCTCCGCTGCTCCGCTGTCCTTGCGATTTCTTATTCGTTGGACTGGAATGAAACAGGAAGATGTCTCGGTATCCTGGACTGAAACCCAACTTTCTTTGGAACAAAGGCAAGAAGCTGTACGAGCAGCAACGTGACCAGCTGGCCACAAGCTCACAGAACGGTTTGGAGTTGCTTCGAGGTCTGCCCGGGAAGCTTGGCAATCCCCTGAGGTTGACACCCAGTTCAATGTGGAAAACCTTGCCTTCCAGCAAGAGCAGGCAGGGGCCCTCTTGCATAATCCGGTGGCAGTTGTCCAGATTAGTCTGCTTCGAGTCGTGACCGGTGAGAACCCACGAAGCATCCACTATTCTGCAGCTACATGCTGGTGAAGTTCATAACCTGAAGAGACAAACCGTGACCTACCTGGGCTCTTACATGGCGCAGGAACCCCACATAGGGTGCAAGTTAGCCATTTAAAACAAAGGATCTCAGTCGAACTGCAGCACGCTTCAAGCTGTAGTGTCAGGCTGAGATCACCGCGGGGACTGTCGCTGCCATGAAGAAGGCAGCTAAGCATCGCAATAACAGGCTGGGAAGACATGAACGGTGGACTTTTTATGCGTGAGGCGACCGATCAGCTTAAGAACCAGACGCAGAAGATCGGAGTGGATCAAGCAACACGACTCAACATAGACGTTATCGGGTTGTGGGGATAGTGCTGTGGCTGGCATGGTGCCTGTCACAACAGTTGGCAGTTGGTAGGTTGACAAGCTGACTGATGAGATGGCAGACATCGCTGCGGAAATGAAGGTTTGGGTACGAAACCAGTGTCACACCAGACTGCGAAGTTGGTGTTTTGGCTTTCCCGACAGGACATCCAGTCAGCGCTTGCTGCACCCTCAGCAGTCGGCTCTGCGGCAGAGGATGAAGCTGAGAAGGAGTTGATGGCAGAGACCTCGGACTCAGCAGGACTTTTGCCACAGCATAGTCTGCAGTGCTGGTGAACGGGGTCGATTCTGCGATGTTGCTGAGGCACTGTATGCACAGCAAGAAGACAAGGAAGCAGAGGAGGCCGGCGCTGGTCAGACTTTGCATACGTATTTTGTCGTTTGAATGCTGTTCCAGGCAATGACCATCCTCGCTGCTGGAGGTGGTGGGTATGCGAGCACCACTCCGGCGCCCGCGGTGGCAGCAAAGGCAGCACCCAAGGCTGCCGCAGCTTTGGGGTCATGAGGCCGGGAGATGCAAGCTTGCTGTGGCTCATTCTCACTGGGGCTTCTTTCCCTTCTGCTTCAAGGAAACGCGGCGAACCCTGAAGTCATCCCATAGCCCCCGGTTTTAGACGCATGCTCCGCTGGAGGTTCCGGGTGCAAGCCGCTCAACGGGAGACCTCATGCGAAGTTGCAGATTTGAGCGGATGTCACGCAGAAGCGTTTGACGTTCCCAGAGGGAAGTTGTGAGACGCAGTTTGACTCTGATTAAGAGAGACAGCTGAATGAATTTGGGGTTCTGCTCTCATGTGCATCGAGACTGTTCAGCGCATTACTGATGGGTCTGATGCCGTGAGTAGAGATCCTGATTTTGCACATGGGCAGGCCATGCTTGATGGCCGCCTTTTTCTGTTGATAGTCTTTCGCCAGACACCCGATTGTGTGCTTTGTCTGTTCTGATGTACTTGGCTTATGAGCAAGTATCAGCATAAACATGAAGCAATTTGGTGTTCTGGTCTTCCCCTCCAGAACAGCATGCAGGAGTCGGAGGGCGCATCGTCAAAAGGGGGCTTCGGCTGTTTGAGTTGAATTTTGATTCGAAGATGCGCCTGCCGTGACTGTGGAGGACGTGATCTTCGACGAGATGAACAGCAGCGCTGCCAGTCGATGTCTGAAGATTGCGTCTGGACATTGCCCTGACTGGGCTGATGCCTTATGGCCCGGACGCACTCGACGCCCTCAGCCTCTCCGACCATCCAAATCTCGGGGGAGCGCCTCGCACCCCGAACGGTCTTGGTGGTCCGAAAGGCATTCTTCACGAGCCCGAGATCTTTGTCTCCGGTAGCTTTAGCTTCTGCAGGCGGCATCACCGTACGCAGCTGCTCGAAAGAGTTTCGAAAGCGTGCGCCATCGCTTCGCCTGGGCCTACGCCGCGGGCCGGCTTGTGCGAGAAAAGGTTTGCTTCGAAGCACTATATGCTAGCATTACATGCAAATACGTCATTGTGTGGGGGAGTTCAAATTCCCTACCTTACAGCTGGCTACGTCGCTGCTACGTGCTGTGTCAAGGCCCGGCCGCTACACGCAGCAACTTGTGTCTCGAGCGAGAGAGGCCTGGGGATCCCTGTTTTGCTTCTCTTCGACAATGACAAGTCGGCAGATTGGTGCAGACGTGTGGTTGCCAGGCTGGCTTGCGTGTGCGTGAGGTACGCACTGCTGCAGCCCGAGCATTTCTGCAAGGGTTGCAGTAGCTGGCTCGTCACAACCACGTCGAGGTTGACGCGGTGAACACCTTGGCAACAGACCTGGCTCAGGATGATGTCGGGGGCTCGGGCTCGGGCCTGTCTTGAATTCTTAGTGCCAGCTGCCAATGCAATGGCAGGCTGCGAGCGATATTGGTCTCATCGTCTCTTGTGGCAGCTCGGGCCTCACGTCTTTCAGCCACGATCTCCTACCTAGCTCTGCACATGTGATGCGATGCTGGGCATACATCAGGCCCCGTGGTCCTCACTGAACCAGTCGACCTACGGGAGCACGTTGCGAAAACGTGCGCCGCTCCGTGGGGTTGGCTTTAGCAGTCCTGGGAGTCCCACGTGATGCTGCACCGATGACACAGAATGCTAGGTCTGCTAGGTAGGGTAGGGTATGAAATAAACATAGTGTAATGTAACTTTTCAGGTGAGGCTGTTTGATTGACCCAAGACAGTTGCTTGATGAGAGAGACACAGCTTTGAGGACAGCAGCAATGCTACAGTTTCCGGATGCGCCCTGCCCTGTGATGCAAGTGCAGAGCTTGCAGCCGCTCTTAGTTCATTGACCCCCACTTAGCCGCTGAGATATTGAGGCCCGTTGTTGGCATTTGCTACGGAATGCAGCTGCTGACACTTCTCTACGGTGGAAAACTTGCAGAGCCTCTTCCTTACAAGTCCGATTGCACTGGTGTGCCGTCAGGGCAGTGCTTTTAGTACTGGACTGCGGCAAGCATTGTTGCTCATGGTGGCTCCATCTCTGAGGCAGCGAGAAAGCGCTCACAAAGGGGAGTGTCCAAGCTGCACTGTGAGGAACTGTCGAGCTGTGGGTGTCGCCCATGCTCCTCGTAAGATTTCCGTTCCAGCTGGCAGGTGGACGGAGTTGAGACGGTCGCCGGTGAAGTCTCGGCTGTCCTGCTGCCCTTTTTCAATGCTGCGATCTACTGCACAGATGGGGTATAGCCGGTATATCTTATTCGAGCCACAAGTTTCTTGCAACATTCACCAACAGTTTTCGGTTCAAGCAGTTCCAGCCGTGTTGCCCACTCGACCTGAAGTCGCAGAGCAGACTTAACAGTCATCACAGAACAAGGTGCGGATTAAAACATGTGACCCTCATGACAGCGTCGGCTCTCGCAGCAAAGCATGGCTGTGCTGATGAAGGTGGTGCAGTACCATGTCGATTGCTTGCCATGTGCGGAATCAGCACAAATTGCCTAACTTCGTATCAGTCACTACATGCTTGTAGTCATCGTTCGTGTCAGGTGAAGACTGGCGGCAGTTCTCCAGCAAACAGCTGACGTCTGCCTTGCGGGCACTGGGCAGGACCCTGTAAGATATTTGCATACAGCATCCGTGGCCCTGTCTCTGCAGTATAGGGTCTTGCTCGCACGTGTTGCAGGGACCAGGATTGGCAGGCTGCGCTGAGACTTCTGCATGACGTGCAAGGCGTGACGTTCGATCGCTGTACATTTGCTGCAATAGCTACACAAGTGTTCCCAGGGTCCGACAGCTGTCGCGCAGAGACGAACATCTTCAGCTATGGCGCAGCGATCGCAGCTTGTGAAAGGACGGTCCACACACTTACGGGTTGAGCCGGATGTCGAACCCTGAATATTTACTTCTACGTCGAGTGCCGCTTTTAGTTTTTCGGAAGGTGCTTGTCACAGAAGCTTACAGCTTGGTTTGTCCGCGATGAAGAAGTTGTTTTCAATCTTCGTCCAGTTGCATCTGCATGCGGGTGGGCGGACCTACAAACTGCAAAAGCATGCAATGAAAGGAGTGCTCAGTGGGCGTGGGCACTTCAGCTTCTGGATGATTTGATCACCAACGGTTTCGAGCAGCTTGACGGCAATCATACGGACCCTTCCCCTTACCCGCTTAGGGCTGTAAGGGGGCCGTAATAAACGCAATGAGGACCTGACAAGGGTCAAGGAAGATCTGAGAATGCTTAAAGAAGTAAGTATGGTTCTTTACTCTCGCTCCAACTTAGCCCTGTAAGGGTTGTTATGATGCAACAACATCTCGTGCATGAGTTGCATAATCGCAGAAGGGAGGTGTTCAGCCCTTGCCATCCCGATGCTGAGGCCGAATGTCATTGTTTGGAGCTCCGCATGCAGCGCCTGTGACAAGGTAAGGCAACAATCATTGTAGAACTGGACGCAAAAGGGATTGAATTCAGCGAATCTTGTGAGGCAGAGCACTGGCTGGAGTCGCTTCGTCTTCTGAACCAAATGCCTGGCAAGAAGCAGCTGCCTCAGGCAGTCTCAGAGCGTTGCTGGCCTTGGTGCTGCAGCAGATCATGTGCACTTGCCGTTGCACATAACAAGTTCGTTGGTTACCTGTTGCACATTCAGAAGCAAGGACATAATCGTTTTTCTTCTCGTGCATTACACCCCGCTCGAATCCGTGATGTCACAAATTGCAAAGGATAAGACGCAGGCGACGGGCGGATGTCACATTTGCAAGATGATCCTGTTACTAAACAAGAAGGCAAGCAAGGACGTTGCACTCCATTCGAAGCCCACGAGAAGCGTTTCCTGAGATCTTTCGAGAGGGTGACTACGGCTCTGTGAAAAGCCTGTTGGGTTTGAATCTCCTGGAACAATGACCATTCGAGATTTGCGAAGAAGCAGCGAAAGGAGCAGGGAGAGTCATTGCCCATCCATTGATGTAGACGTTCCTGCGGCATGGCTCTGAAGGTTGCAACCGAACGTCATCTCCTACGGGGCTGCGCTGAGCGCGTGCGCGCGTGTGGCAAAGTGGCAGCATGCCATCGCGCTCTTGGAAGATGTGTCGGCTGAGGCCAGAGCTCGGCCCAAATGAGGGCATCGCTATGATGAGTGCATATGCCTCCGAAGTGCTGCCTCAAGTCTTCAGGACATCGACATGAACATCGTGCTCTGGAACTCTGCTATAACGGCCTGTGCCAGGCCTTTCGCACGGCGTTCTCTGTGCACAACTCGCTGGTGGTCTGTGTAATGCAGGGCTGGCGAATGGCCTTTGGCTTTGCAGCTGTTGGAGCTGCTTCAGCAGGCCTCGTACGACTTTACTTTTGATCAGCCGTCAGCCCCCAGAATCAGCGGAGTGTCGTGATGCTCCGTCGCAGGCGGGCTTGCAGCCAGACGTACTCAGCTTTAATGCTTGCATCACCGCGGCTGGGGCTGGTAGCCGCTGGCAGCTTGCGCATCTCCGCTAAATGCTCCAGTGCGCCGATCCTTCAAGGGCTTGGGCAAATTGATTGCAGTTCATGGGTGCTGTAGTCACTAAAGAATGGGTATATCGCATCAGATTTCTCAGACATAGTCGTGCCGTTAGCAACTTTACTTTTTTCCAGAAATGTAGATCACGTGGCCATCTTACTGAGCGAAGATGGTTGAACCGGAGAGCACCACTTGCTAGTGTACGCCTATTGGACTAGCGAATATAGCAAGCTTTGTCTGTAGTGGTCCGCGAAAGCCCTGCAGCAAGAGGTGCATACTCCGCATCCATGGAGGGTTGTGTCGCGTCAAGGCTCTCGCTCTTTGATTTGGCGGAGTCAGTTGGCCGAAGCGTACTTGGCCCAGCCGGCTGACCTGACAGCATGTTTTCAGCTCAGCAAGGTTGGATCTGCATCCAAGGTTGTCACCTACAACGCTGTGCTGGCTGCCTTCGAGGCACAACTTCAGCGTTTCGGTTACCTTCGAAAGCATGATGAGAGAGTGTGTGCAAACACATGCATGCACACAGTCCGCAGACAAACGTGCATACATGTGCACATACGGACGTGACATTAAAACAAACATGCATACATACCTGCTTACATACCTGCATACCATGATACCTTTGTACGTTCCGTTACATTGCCGTGCATCTCATTGTATTGCAGGCATCTCATTGTATTGCAGACACTACAGTACAGGACATGACGTTGCGTGACATTACATCTCATTGTGCAACATGATGTTACACTACATTTTGTCATTACATTGCATTCCACTTCATTGCACTTTAGTGAGGCGCATTGTACTGTATTGCATCACATGAGACAGGCACATGTTATTGCATTACATGTACAGAATGTGATAGCACATCACGTTCCATTACAGTACATCGCACTACATCAGATGGCATCACATCGTTGCACTACACTACACATGCTTCCTTATGCTACAATGCTGCTACACTACGCAAAACACCTTGCGCCGCACCATGCTACCAGTACCTTACATTATCTACCCCACACGCCGCACTACCTTGTCCTGCTTGCCCTGAACTGCACTGCACTGCACTCCACTGCTACACTACACTCCACTGCAGCACTTGCAGCACATCACATTGCAGTACAGCGCAGTACAATACATTACAGAACGTCGCAGCACCTTGCAGTACATAGTTACATACGCACATTCGTAATGCGTAGATACGGATCCACATGTACAAACAGACCAAAACATACACAGGCAAAGCCTTTCGCATACCTGCCCATGCATACATACATACATACATGCATACCTGCTGGCTTGCCTGCATGCACACATGCACGTTGCCTTGGGACTTCCCTTGATTCGCGCATCGCCCTTCTTCATTTGAGAGAGAGGGAGAGCCTGCGAAAAGAAACACACACTCACACATACAAAACGAGAGGGTGCGAGCGAGGCAACCAAACGAGCAAGAGAGCGTGTGAGTGTAAGTGTGAGCGCGTGTGCCTTGCATGCGCTTGCGTCAGGCAGCTGGTGAATGGCTGCCGGCTCTGACTCTGCTGGGTCCGGCCCTTGGCCATTCTATCGCAACCGTCGTGAAAGTGTGTACTTGGTTGTTTCGTTCCTCGAAGTGAATCATTTGTACGCCATCACCTTGTTTTGGATCAAGTCGACGCTTCTTTCCCTCACCTCTCCGCCTCGCCACACTTGCCAGCGGTGTCGTGGCCTCAGCCTTGACACTGCCGGACATGTCTGTCCGTCTGTCCGCCAATGGGATAAGGCTGGCCGTGAATGGGCTGCGGCGCATCTGCAGAGCCGACAGGCTTCTCGCCCCTGGCAAAGGCCGGGCTGAGCCACCGGGCTTTCGAGTTCCAAAGTGCTCCACGCCCTAGGCTATCGCAGTGCTTCGGACAGGTCATCCAGATCTCGGACGAACAAGACGAGCAAGATGAAGTGATTCTCTTGCAGCTTGGAGCACCGGTGTTCCGACGGACCAGCAACTCTTCGACAGAGCCTCTTGGCTACGCAGTCAACAACCTAGCCAGCTAGCACGGGGAAGCTTGCATTCGACAAACCTGGCATTGTTGTCACATTGGATCAAGACCTGAGCCGATCCATTTCGGCAGGTTTCCTGCGCATTGCCGCACATTTGGACCTGACGATGGATCTCCTATTGCCAGCTTTCCGTCTGGGAGACATCAGCTGAAGGAGCCTCCTGCTGTGATGGCGTCATGCACACATGATCAGACGGTTGATCTGTTGCAGGCTTTCTTGGAGTTGGGATTCGTCCTACACTTGCTCTCTGAAAGGACCTGATGCTTTGTCCAGAAGTGAAGCTGATTCCTCCTCACGTATCTCTACAGGCAGATGCTTGCCTCGTGTTTCGGTTGTCTCACTTCTTCTTGCTGGGAGTCTCGGCCCGGGAGCCTTCATCTCACTCGAAAGCACACTCTCCTGGGATCACTTCTTCTAGCTTTGAGGTGTCAACACCCGTCGGGTTGAACTTGGGATTGAAGGGACTGCATGGGTACCCTAGTGCGGACAGGCTGTGCAATGTCAGGGCATGGCCTCAAGCGCCGGGAAGTTTCGAGCTTTTCTCTCATGCGCGATTCGAGCATTGCGATCAAGCACGAATGATTCAAGCGGGTTTGGGGTATTCGAGGTTTATGGTTTCGAAAGTTTGCGGACTTTGTGGTCGACTGTTTGCTGCGCTTTGAATCTGTTACGCTGAATCCTTTTGATTTTGGGGCCGAAGGGTGTAGGCCTAGGCTTTTCAGGCTTCGACTGTTAGGGCTCCAGGCGTTTAGGGTTTAAAACTTCAGCGAATTTCAACGATAGAGTTTAAAGTTCGGTTTGGAGGATCAGGGTGCATAGGGTTGAGAGTTTTCAGGTTTGCAACATCCAGTCTGCAACGTTTCTCGTTTGCGAATCCGGCACGTTCTTGCGCAAAGCCCATTTTCCTTGGAATGTTGCGACCTCCACGCGCAAATCTGCCGGTACATGAACCCACGATATCCGTGTTCTCAGTGCGCAGTACGGTCGGTCTCAGTTTTGTTGTGGTTCTAGTGCGCGACGTTATTGTTCTAAGAGTCTAAAGCCTCGGCAAGGGGCGGCTAGTACTAGACACACTGCAAGTGTTGTGGTCTTGGCCAGTGCTGCTGTTGTGTGCGAGGCTGTCATTGGATTGTTGTAGTTGAGCAGACATGCGTGCTGACATGTTCCGAGGAATGGGTGTCTGCCAAGCCTCGGGGATTGCTGTGGCTCCCGGATTCGTTCAATGGCGTCGTGCCAGTTGCTTCGTCCTCAGCCGAAGCATGAACAGGCACATCTTGCGCAGGCCGTGTGTGGTTACTGCTTACATCTCGAGGCACATGCGACACCCGATTTTTTGGCATATTACGGGGCTGCGATGGCATCTTCCTGCAACACATCAGCTGTTGATGTCAAGGCAAGGTCGCTGCAGTCCGTTGCAGGACAGCTTTCTGCCGTAAATGCACGTATTGTCATGACTGCAGCCGTTTACAATCAGTAGACAGCAGAAGTTTCGGTTGCGTGCCCGCCTTTCTAGCCACCTGCGCAGGCAGAGCAACAGATCGTTGATTTTGAGTACTCCTACATTTACAAGGCGGCACCATGGTCTCTTGACCAACAAATGGAGCATGCGCGCTGCCCTTCTGGCCTTTTCAGGAGCGCTGGGTACTGAACCCTGACTTGGGTCCCGGCGCCCTTGGCCTGCAAAGGCACAACTTTGCACATCTGGAGACCCTCGGAAAGCAAAGAGACAGGGAGCTAGGGGTCTGGGTCCAGCGCCGCTAGGGCCGCTAAGCCGCTCGGGTAAGGGTCTCACGCGGCGGAGCCGGGTGGGGGTTCCTTTTGTGGTCGAGGTGCCCTTTGGACGATGACAACGGCATTCTGCTCCTGGGAAAACTCGTGGGCAAGGACGTGGCATGGTGCACCTCTCTCCTTGTCATGAGTGTGGACTTTCCGTAGAGAACAGGAGCTGCACCTCACTGGATTCAGATGCCCGTGCTTCCACACTATTTATCTCGTACCTCGGCAGCAGACTTTCTGACACCTGAGCCGTGACTTTCTTCTCACCGGTTTAGACTCAGGCGCCAAGGGTCATTCACTCCAAAGACCATTTGTTGAGACGATGGCGTACTTCGATGACCAGCGTCGCAGAGGATGCCTTGTCTGGGCCACAGTCTTCGATGGACGTCTTCATGTTGCTCGCTGACTGAACTGACCTCTCAGCAGCTTGCATTGCCAGGTCGACTGAAGTGGACCACGTTCTCCTGCAGCAGATGGCTGAATCTGGTGGAACTGTCCATGATGTGGACACCCGACCTGCACGACCTGAATTTGCAAGACCTCTAGGTGGATAACAGCAGGCAATTGCAATGGCAACTTGCAGACTGTAGGCCCTGCCATAGGACTGGTTACATACTAGATGTGGCCTGATTCCAAGAGAGAGCACTGGAAAGCTCCATAGAACACTCTATCCCCATGAAATGACTCGCTGAAGAGAGTACTGGGCACAAGAAGCAACAAGCTGAGAGTGGTGCTGTCCAGGCAGGAATGCTAGCTGCCACTGCTTGTTATGCAGGGCTGCAGTTGGTTGTTGAGCGAATTTTCTCCCTTCGTTGTACCACCTTGCTTCGTGTTCTCTAAAATGGCGAGATCGTGCTACATACTCAGCTGAGTTGCATCCATCCCATGCGAGGATCTCAGGTTCGAGGAAGCCTTCAACCTCGTGCAGCAAGGTCCGCGAGCTTGCCTGAAGACGACGGCCAAGGACGAAGCTCATCAATCATGGATGTCACTGTGCACTGCAGCATGGCACTACTTCATCAGGACGGTCCGAGGCTTTCTTCGTTGGACGAGGAGTGCGAGGAATGCGATGAAGATGAGGCCGAACACGAGCAGGATATCCCTTGTGCTCTGCGGGATATCAGGGATGTCGTCTGTCTTGACTTCCCGGCTACCGAATTCTCCTGCAGGACACTATTCCGAGTCAGAAGCCGCGGCCATCAGTGGAATCCCTTTATACTCTGATGTCGAGCTCGACTGCCAGAGTGCGGGTCAGTGCCTTCAGCCGCAACGGGAGTGCATTTCAAGCATCAACGCTGCTTGAAGAGTTGGTTCGAACGTTTTGATGCTGACCCTCCAGGTGTGGACAGTTCAGCCTCCGGAGTATCTGCCATTTTTCCAGGGATCCTGCCCAGTCTGCCCTTGATGTCCGGCACCTACTTTCGGCTGTCAAGGCAGGGAGGTCTCTTCTGGTCTCCTCACGCTCCCCTAGGCCCGAGGCTCCGAGCTCTCGTGTCGAGCCTCCGCAGCTCTTGGTGCGGCATTCCGGTGGCACGATGGAAGACAGGTGCCCGGCATTGTCTCACTCTGATGGGTTCATCGTCTCCTGGCACATCCTGTCCGGCAGGCTCGGCGATGCCGCCTACGGCAAGCTGTTAGCACGAATGGGACACCACGCTAGCTCGTCCTAGCCCGACACCCAGGCGCAGCCAAGAGCAGAATGACTCATGATGGCAGTCTTATTCACAAGCGTACACTGCCGAGAGAGGAGCTGACAGAACACGAGCTGTGCGTGTTTGTATGCATGAAGCTCTGTTGCGGTCACTGCTTGGCCTCATGTTGAGGCATCTCAATCGGAGATGATCTGGCATTGACCAGCTGTGGCGATGAAGGCGCGATACTGCCTCAACCGTGTACGTGCTATCTGCAGGCCAGGTGCAGTCAGTTTAGGATGACAGAGGCCGACATCAGACATCGCTCGTAGCCATGGAGATCCGTAAACTTCGCATAAGAGGCCGAGATCAGCACTAGGCCTCTTTGCGCATTTTGCAAGATCAACCCTTTGCTTGTCTCGAGAACCGTCGGAAGAAGAGGCCATGGTGAAAAAAGGGAAATAGGGTCGTGCTACGAGCATGTTAAGCCTTCCCACCCTTGCGAGCGCCTGAATAGACTTGACCGAACACGCCACCGTGCCCTCCCCACCACTGCCCGAGAAGAGCATCGCCTCTTGCAGTTGCAAGCGCTCTTCAGGTGCTTGAAGGCATCATGTCCTTATGTCTAGGAGTTTTGGTACTAGAAGCTGTTTTGATTTTGCTTGCCGTGTTCAGGCAGCGGGGGTACATCCCATGGCCGCTGCTGACCCGCTGATGTTTGTCTGCGAGGCGTGCGCCTCACGGTCGCCAGTCGATCGAGCGTTTAACTGCTCGCTGCGGATGCAGAAGTCCTCGGAATTTGATGCATGGAAGCAGGGAGCCCTGAACCCAAACCCTGAAGAGAAGGGGCTTTGAAGGGGCTTCCCGCACCACGAGGCCACGTGGATCCGGTTTTGGCCTCATGTGCCGGACATCACCCGCGAGATGTCGCAGATGATGAAGAAACAAGTGGCAGTCTGAAACACACGGAGTTAAGACCTGCGAAGAGCCACAAACCAACCGGGAAATCTCGAAGATCTGGACTCAGACCTGCCATCCTTGTATTTTCTCTCGCTTTCGTATTGCGCTGTACTGAGAAAGCGGCATTTCCTGAGCGTTTCCGTGGAAATCCCTGGAACCGCTGCCCTGTGCTGCTGTTCAGAACATGCAGTATGCATTTGTGATCTTGCCGAAGGCAGGCAACTTTAAAGACTTTTTTGGCGTGATTCCGCCCAGAGTTGAAGCATCACATCGCACACCTGGCCATGTCGCAGCACAAGATGAGTTGAGTGCTGCAGATCCTTCAGGCGCAGCTGCGACAACTTTCTGTTTTGGCTGCATTCTAAGGTCAGCTGCGGAGCAGCAAGGCAATGGATCAGGGCTGCTTCAACCCCATAAAGCTAGCTTTGGAAGTCATGGGTTGCATCAGGAAAGGGGCGACAGTTCGAAACCAAGAAGACGAAGAATAAACCACGCGATTCTGCAGACGAGCTGTCGGAATCAAGCTAGACTTTGCAAAGGGCACGTAGACTTGAAAAAGCGCACAGACCGGTCAATCTACTCAACAAATCACCGTTGAGGGCTGGTGTGTGTGGACGGTTCGAGCGGGATTCGTTGGAAATCATTTTCACCTTGATGTTCTAGCAGTGTTTGTAATTTCGGTTGACAAGTTGCGGGACTTGGTGGCAAGTACCGAGTGGACACGTGCACGTGACAGGCGCTCGCTGTGGACAACATCTCCTTTGCATCTGCAATTTCCGCGTGCCAGAAGGCTTCGCGCTGGGCGCCTTGGTGGCCAAATGGACGCATCAGAGTTGTAGTTTCTTGACGGGGCGGACAGGCTGCATTCTGACCAGGAGAGATCCCTCCAACTACTCTGGCAAACGGAGGCCGTCTGTGCAGACACATGTTTGGGACAATCTCGTCATGCTGTGGTCATCGCTGCGTAGGCCAGCGGACTCCGCCCAGACATCGTGTGCTTCAACGCTGCCATCAGCGCCTGCGCCTGCAGCTGAGCTCCGGAAGCAGAGTCTGTGCGATGGTACGGGGCTGGGGCTGGGGCCCAAGACCCCACTTACTCCCCCATTGTACTTCGAGGACCGCTGCTTCGAATGGCAGCGAAGCCTCTGGCTCCTCCGTGAGCTCTGTCGGCGCCAACTTCGCCCGGACACCGTCACCTTCGCTTGTGTGGTCTCTGCTTGTGTCGCTGGATTGTCATTCAGACGGGGTCTGAGGTCCCAGTGTTAAACCAGAAAGCCAGGGAGGTTCTAACAGACTCTGAAGTGAGGCAAAGACTGGGCGATGGAGTCAGGCCCTCTCATTGCTGAGAGTTGCGAGGACTACTGGATGTGATGGTAAATGCCGTCTGTTCGGGGTTGTCGCTGTTGAGGTTTCAGATTTCAGGATTGAGTTTCATCTTGCCTTTCAAGGAATTTAGGGCTAAGGGTTGCAATCCGCCATCTCGTTTTGCGGTTCAAGCTTTGCCACCGATTTAGGGCTTAGGGTTGCAATCCACCATCTCGTTTTGCTGTTTAGGCTTTGCCACCGATTTGGGCTTAGGGTTGCAATCTGCCATCTCGTTTTGCGGTTCAGGCTTTGCCACCGATTTAGGGCTTAGGCTTGCAATCCGCCATGTCGTTTTGCAGTGCCACCGGTTTAGGGGTTCGGGGCTTTGCCACCCATTTAGGGGTTCGGGTTGCAATCCGCCATGGTTCAGGTTTTGCCACCGATTTAGGGGTTCGGGTTGCAATCCGCCGTTTTGTTCTGCGGTTCAAGCTTTGCCACCGATTTAGGGGTTCGGGTTGCAATCCGCCATCTCGTTTTGCGGTTTAGGCTTTGCCACCGATTTTGGGCTTAGGGTTGCAATCGGCCATCTCTTTTTGCGGTTCAGGCTTTGCCACCGATTTAGGGCTTAGGCTTGCAATCTGCCATCTCGTTTTGCGGTTCAGGCTTTGCCACCGATTTAGGGGTTCGGGTTGCAATCCGCCATTTCGTTTTGCGGTTCAGGCTTTGCCACCGATTTAGGGCTTAGGGTTGCAATCTGCCATCTCGTTTTGCGGTTCAGGCTTTGCCACCGATTTAGGGCTTAGGGTTGCAATCCGCCATCTCGTTTTGCGGTTCAGGCTTTGCCACCGATTAAGGGCTTGAGGTTGCAATCCGCCATCTCGTTTTGCGGTTCAGGCTTTGCCACCGATTTTGGGCTTAGGGTTGTAATCTGCCATCTAGTTTGCAGTTTTTGGCTTTGCCGCCGATTCAGGGCTTAGGGTTGAAGTCCGCCATCTCGTTTTGCGGTTCAGGCTTTGCCACCGATTTAGGGGTTCGGGTTGCAATCCGCCATCTCGTTTTGCGGTTCAGGCTTTGCCACCGATTCAGGGCTTAGAGGCTTTGCCACCGATTTGGGGCTTAGGGTTGCAATCCGCCATCTCGTTTTGCGGTTCAGGCTTTGCCACCGATTTTGGGCTTAGGGTTGCAATCCGCCATCTCGTTTTGCGGTTCAGGCTTTGCCACCGATTTAGGGCTTAGGGTTGTAATCTGCCATCTAGTTTGCAGTTTTTGGCTTTGCCACCGATTCAGGGCTTAGCGTTGCGATCCGCCATCTCGTTTTGCGGTTCATGCTCTGCCACTGATCTAGGGCTTTTGGATGCAAACCGCCATCGCTTTTGCTGTACAGAGTTTGGCACCGATTTAGGGCCTCGGGAAGACATCCATTCCGTCGTTTTGCGGTTGAGGCTTTGCCATCGAGTCAGGGCTGATGGTTGCAATCCGCCATCTTGTTGGTTTCGCAGTTCAGGTTTTGCTACGGATTTAGGGCTTAGAGTTGCAATACATTCCGTCGTTTCGCAGTTCCTTGCTACCGAAATAAGGCTTAGGGTTGCCATGCGCCACCTCGTTTAGTTTTGCCCCCGTTTTAGGGCTTACAATTATTGCGATCCGCCGCATTTCAAGCTTGCCTCCGATTTAGGGCTCAGGGTTGATTCGCCATCTCGTTTTGCGGTTCAGACGTTGCCACCGAGTTGAGGCTTGCAAACAAAACTCCTTAAGAGGAGGGAATGCGAACCCAAGGCCGCACCAAAAAACGATGGATGGCAAACCTTAACCCCCAAAAGCAGCCCGCCCGTCATCTCGTTTTGGGTGCTGGGTTTGCCACGCAACACATCCTTTTATAGGGACCAAGCACCCTTCCTAGGGTGTGGAGTTTGGCGCTCATTGTTTTTCTAGAAGCTATTGACCAACATCAGGGTTTGGGTTCCAGGTAACTCACGGATTTTGGGATTTCAGGTTGTCCGGACCACTCAGTCCTTGTTAGGGTTTCGGCTTGGCTGCCCATCAGTTGGCCACCTATCGGTTTGTATCATTCACTTCTTCACATTCCTTCGTCGTGCCATCCGTCATCTGTTTGCCACCAAATTCTCTTCATAGCCAGACCCCTCTTGAGGTGGTGGGTTTTGGGGACCCAGTGAGCACTTGTGGTCCTGGGGGTTTGCCACCCACAATTTTCCAGCATGTTCTTCTAGTGCTTTAAGTGAATCAATCCCCATGTTTCGGGTTTAAGGTTTTCCTCAACCCTCGCTGCTAGGGACTATGTCTGCCACCCATCATGCCGTGTCTGGTTCATGCGCGTTTGCGAACCAGCTACCTCGTTTTGGCATTTCGGGTGTTGCGAACTATTCGCTCTTTACGCTTCGGTTTGTGACCCACAGCTACTGCCTAAGACTGAGAACTTGTGGCAAATGTGTCATTCATTCAGGGTTATTCGAATTCATGGGAGCAAGAGACTTGGAAGGCTTCCCCTGCAAAGACCCTCTAGTGCCGTAGGCTTCGTGCATCAGGCGTGCATCCGTGCATGTGGATCTGTATGCGGATGTGCGTTTGCATTGCTATGAAAACAGAAATGGTTTCAATTGCGCCTGATCGTAGGACCCGAACCGTGGAGGTCGGTTCCTTTGCGGCCAGTTCCCTGCTCCGCTCGTCGAGCGCCACGTGCTTGAAGCAGACTGGAACACTAGCATTTTCGCTTGTTTTCGCTTCGCTTGCCGAGTCATGGGAGTCAGGTTGTGGAGCCGTTGGAAGGCAGCACCGGTGCTTGGCAAAGCTCCATTGATGCAGTCAAAAGCCTTCGGTGCTCCAACCTGAAGTTGGACATTGTCAGCGGCAATGCGATGCTGGTCACGGCTTCAACCGCACAGCGCTGGGGCTGGATCCAAGCTCTATCCATGCTAGCCGAAATGGCTTTCTGCAGTTTGGCCCTGTCGGAGGTCCGATAATTGCAATTTTAGCAGTTTTTGCCTGTTTAGCATGGTATTCCGCGAATCAACGACGGCCCAGTGTATCAAGTGCCGTGGTGGGTTGTAGAAGGGACGTGGTTTGCACACGAAAAGAAACATGTAGCTCTTGCTACAACTCGTCGCACAGATGCAATCCGGCTACTTCCAGGTGAGCTGCCGTGTTGCTGTGGCAGGGTGTGCAGCCCAAAGCTGGACTGGCAACTTCCATAGCCAACAAGAACCATTTTTGTAATAGTTTGTCGTTCTGTCTGTGGCATTTGCTACATCCGTCAGTGGAATCTTCGACTTCTTCCAAGTAGATGTGCACAGGTGCACTGGCACTGCTGTTTGGCAGCCCTGCTGAGCCAGCGAATGCTTGGATGAGCCTTGTCTCGAAGCTGGAAGACTGCGTGCAGAGCTTTGCTTCCTACTTCCGCAAGTCTGTAGGATACCGAGCAGTCAGGCCAGTGGAGCTCAACTCCTGCGCCATCGCCTGTGAAAGGCCACTTCTCGATGGGCGCTTGAATCTTCGTAACTCGCTGCTTGGTAATGTCGCAGGATGCAGCATCCACTCCCGATGCAGCCTTTGTTGCACTTGACGGAGAAGCAAGGCCAGAATTAACCTGAAGCAAGTGCCGCAAGCGAGTATCCGAACTATACAGGACTGTAGGTCATACTTTCCGGTCGGCCGCCTGCATTCTACGAGTTTGTAAGGCTTCTCTCGGCTGTGCTTGCAGGGGCCAGCGTGCTCCACAGCACGCGAATCCGCGAAGTTTGTCGGAGCTGCTGAGGGCGATTTGCTATCGGCTGATGCGCACCTTCCATGACTGCCCAGATTCGTCATGGGTCTCGACGAAGAAGGTCGAGGACAGAAGACGGAAGTCTACGTTGAGATGATGCATGGCGACGAGGTGTGAGGCCTCCACAACACAGCGTGGACAGGGGACCCCGCGGAGTGCAACCGGACGACGATGGAAGGCTGCCGGCCAGTCCCAGCTGCAGCTCAGCGCATTCGTGTTGGTCGTTACGGGAATAGGTTTTCTGCCACGGACATCGGTGATGTGCGTAGGCCGGAAGGAGGCGCAAATCCAGAACAACCGCTCTACAAGAGTAGTCGTGAAGCGCCACTCGCAGCTAGCATGCAACAAGCAGAAGGAGGTCTACGGCTCGATGGGCGGATGGAAAAGAAGAGCTCTGCTCTGGCGCAAACTGAGTGCCCTGCGAAGCACACCACATAAGCTTCAATTTTCGTATGGCCAGGTTAGATGGCCTTGCCTCGAAGTTCCCTCAGTGGGCGGGGCGCCCGCTGTGAAGGCCACAGGCTAATTACTCCAGGCCTTTGAAGCATGACAGGCATCCAACTTCATCTTCGTGGATGAGCTTCCACCCGACTTTTCAGTGCTCGCTTCCAAGCTGCTTGCATTTTTGCACAGCCGTCTGTAGCATTCCATGCGATACTGGTTCTCACAGAATGTCGGGGAGAGGCACAACAGGGCGAAACAGCAAAGCAGGACCACGTTTTCGGGGGCTCAGGGGTAGAGGACTAGGGCCAGGGATGGACAGGTTGGGGTTGGCTTGCCGCATTCGCGCGAAGATGCTACCATTAAAGGTCGGTGGCCGGCCTTGAAATTCCACAGGGTCGCCAAAACCATGGCAACGAGGCACCAAGAAGGCAGCATCGAACGACGACAACGGCAAACCACAACAACGGGACACTTCACATCAACAACACTGTGCAGTCCGGCATCACCGGTATTTAAGCTAGTGGTCACTGTCGAAAAAGACGCCGAAGGAAACGTTTCAAGCCAAGCATGGCTGTCAGAGTCATGATGAAACATCGAGCTCGAGCAGCAATGACAGCACTACCAACCAGTCTCGACTCGAAGACCCCCGGCTCGAGGGCCCGATAACGAGCCCACGTGTCGGGAGTGGCAAGGAGGGTCTAGCTGAAGGCCGTCGTAGGGAGATCTGAGCAGCACCTTCATTTGCAGGTCTTCTGCAAGGTTATGCGAGTACGGGCGGGCACCAAGGACGGCCGTAGACTCTGCCAACAGAGTCGGCAGCTCAGACTGTTCGAAGCTAGGTTGTCAGGCTAAGCGTTCCGGCAACCCACGTTCAAAGTCTTTCTGTGTAGTCCTGACTGCTATTGGCTGTGTAGAGTCGTGGTCCAAACAACTTTGTCACGACGATTTCTGCCGACCTTTCCGGAGTCGAGGTGATGGCGATGGAGCATGTGGAGGATCATGTCTATGGGCTCCAGTGGCATCCAGAGGTTTGCGAGACATGTCGTGTGCATCTTACGCTCCTACTGTGTGAAGACTGCCTGAGTTCCAGTTTCCTGGAGGTCATTAACAGCAAGGTGGGGCGCAAAATCGTTGACCGCATCTTCTCACTGGTCGGTGTGCTCCTTACGTCTCCTTACACAGCATTGCGAGCACATGAGTCGGCGGAGTCGTGTGTGCAGTCCGCCGACATCGCTGCAGGCAAGCGACGCACGGCCCCGCGAGGCATTTCTGATCCTCCACAAGGTGGTGCCAAGGTCGAGTAGGCAGGACGTCGAATCATGGCGGCTTTCGGAAGGTGTCAAGGTTGAGCCTCCAACGGGCTGGGAACCAAGATGCACCAACGGTTGGTCTTGCTGATGCACCGTTAGCACCCCGGTCTCCTTTGCTGCATCAGGCTCACTTCAGGGCCCGGAGGATGTGGAGGCTTCGTGGATGCGAAGCTACGGCTAGAGACCCCCCTTTTTTCGGAGTGGTTGTGCAGAGGTCTTCAGCTGGCATGAAGTCGACCTGGAGCTCCGAAGGCTCGTCAAGGCGCGGCCCATGAAGACATTGAACGCCTTCCAGTCGACAAGTCCAAGCTCTTCTCTTCTCTGCTTCAGGAGCTTATCCAAAGCAGCGGTGGCGGCAGAGCCTCTGCTGATCTGGGAAAGTTACTCGCGGGCCATGGGCTCATCTGCAGTTGACCTGCCTCATGCCGAGAGCATCATGGGCGCGAATGTCGCAAGATGGCACGAACCGTCCAAACAGTGTCGGGAGCACGGCAGTCGCGAAACACAAGTGGGTCGCACCAGGATCGGCTGCTTGAGTCAACGACACCCGACCTATACAACCGGTCGCTTGACGTTTGCATGAGGGCCAGGGTCGTATACCTGACGCCTGCGATCCGAGATGGCATTACATCATAAATCCGAGACAGCAGCCTTCACACAAAACGCCCTGTGCAACTTCGAATGATTATACTAACGGTCCTGGTGCAAGCAGAGAGAGAAAGTGGGCAAGCAAGAATGGTGACAACTCTCCCTTGAAGGTCGGCGACGTGAGCTGATGACAACGCTTCGCAGACAGGGCCTCTGAGATCAAGACAGACTCCATGTTGAGCTCTGCATCTCTCTCACTCTCTTGCTCTCTCTCCAAGGCTCGCACGCAGCGCCGCGTGTCGGAGCCGATGGCGCTGAGCCAAGGGGGAGCCCTCAGACTTTCCCATCACAGCGATGACATCCGCTGAGGCGATGGCAGCCTTGGAGAGGCGCTGGGCGCCGCGAGCGCCTCCCTGCGAGAGGTGCCAGCGGTGCAACGCAAAGCACATTCTGTCCCCTTCGTTTGAAATTCATGTGGTGTTTACGCCCTCCTTCGTTGAAGATGTTTGAGGTGGCGAGTGCCTGGTTGCTGAACCCAGCTCCGGCAGGGTAAGACACCCTGCCCTTCGGCTGCTCTTCACTTCGAGTGCTGCAGAAGCCGGCACAGTCTGCTCTCCATGTTGTCCTGTTCTTTTCTGGCCTATAAAGCCGCCGCCTCTGCTCAGTCTTGCTTCAGAACACATGGCTTCGCCGCACGGTCTCACCCGAAGCGTTTTCTGCACCGCACAGCCGAGTCAGGAGTAGAGAGAGGGAGTTGACGGTTTGCTTGAAGTGTTATCTTTCCGATGTCCGTTTCATCAGCTCCGTACTTGCAGCCAGCACAGGCTCAAGGCGGTGCACTGGCGGTAGCTCGAGAGTAGCAAAGTGTGGTCCGTCTGCTTTGGTTTGGAAGCATGATCCGGACTCGTCGCAGCCTTTGATGATTTTTCTGCGAGTTTTTGGCGCTGCTTGCGAGCTTAGGTGTAGACATGGGCCGGCACCTGAACGCCCTCTGCAGTACTGCATGTTGGATCGAGAAGCGTCCTTGTAAATAAGGGGCGACGGCACATCCAATGGCTGCTCAACGACAGGAGCAGATCTTGAAAGAGCAGAAGGCGCGGGTCTTTTGGATCCTGCAGCGTACTTGTCCATTAGCAAGATTGAAGATCTGTTGGGGTGTAGGTGGCGTCTCAATTTTTTGTTTCGGTTTTCGATGCAGGCCGAGGCGGAAGCCTTGGCCCACTATTATGGCGGGGGTCTGAGCTTCACAGTCGGTTCGGCTGTTCAGCTCCATTCACATCTGCCAGCACTGGCTGACTTCCGACACCTCAGGAACAACACTTGAGAAAATGTCGGAGCTCGGGGTGCTGCTTGCATCTGCTTGCAATGGGACGTTCGCACCTCCGTTTCGTGACAACTTGTCGCACAGGAGACGTTTCGCTCGCACTCGTGGAAGTCGAATGTGAAGCCTCCGTACCACAAGCCGGTGCGGATGCAGTCGCTGCCTCCAGGCCCGACGACGAAGCTTTCGAAGCACAAATCTGTGAGATGCGTCGACTCACAGTCTCGCCAGTCATGAAGCCCCCCGAGCGGGTCTTCTCCACCTTTGCTCCGTCCCTCGTGGGTGCTGCAGGCCCCCTGTCCTTCTTTTTTTGTGCTGTAGTCGCAAGTGGGAGTTTCCGAAAATTAGGGGTACCTTATTTTGTGGTCCTTATAAGAAGGATCCTACTATTTAGGGTACCGTACTAGGTTAGGGTCCCCTAGTTTCGGAAAGTCCCAAGTCGGTTTGTCGAGGCCTCGGCCAGGGACCAGGCAACTTTTGCCATGGCACCATCGGAGGTGCGGCCGAGAGGCGGATGCCTGGAGCCCGGCCTCAAAGTGCGATTTTCGGGGATATTTTGCTGCATGCTGTTGAAAAGGGATCCCGGTCCTTGCGTCCAGGGAGCAGCCACCTGGAGAAGATGCTGTTTCTGTTTCGACACTACCTCCGTCTCGAGGATCAGAGGCGCAGTGAGACTGCCACATGTCTGATGCTGAGTGTACCACCAGTGCAGCCGCAGCCAGGGGAGTTTCAGATCGCAGCTGCAACCGGTGCGACACTCAAAGTTTTCGGAAGAGTGCGCAGAGAAAGTGAGCGGTGCTCAGGCGACCGGTGCATCACGCGCATCTGAAAGATCTGCGGCATCCTTGCCTCGCTCCACTGGGAGTAGATCGAACCTCACGCGGGCCTCTAGCCAGTCAAGTGCCAAGATTCTGAGTGAGTTTAGGCTTGTGCTTCTCCAGGCCACGCATTCCTTTGCACAGGTCCCGGGTCCTACGACAGGAGATTCAGAAGGCAGCCTCGTGCTCGGCATTCTGGTTGATCATGGGTAGAGCAGACATGGAATCATGCGGCCCTTGCTGAAGTGGAAGCTTGCACGATTACTATGGCAGCAAGGATTCCGGGCAATGCAGAAGCAATGAGACATGCCTGGATTTGGTGACCAAGGTGCTTCAAGAAGTCTCTAGGCTTCGTACACCCATGAGCGGGAGTGCAGTCTCCTGAGTCTTCGCGGCTCCACAAAGCTTGGAGCTGCAGAGGCTGAAAGCTGACAAGCAGCGTTAATGCTTAAGGGGCACATGCAACTTCATGTCCCAAAGTTCGTTGAACCCCGGCCTGCAAAGCAGCTTCGGAACTATCACCCTCTGGGACCTCTTCGGAGTAGATGGTGCGAAAGGCTTCCCGACATTTGTGGGCTGGAGTGGCTGCGGGAAGGTCCTATAGGTCCAAGACAAGTGCGCCCTGCAGCCCCATGCAGTTCTCAAGAGCCTCGCGGGCTCTGTGCGGTCTGAGGCCAGGTCGGATGAGGGGAGCAGGCCTTCGAGATCCTTCGAGCATCTTCAGCCGCTGGTGACAGGCATGCAGTGCCTGAAGCAGCAGCTCGTCAGAGCTCCTTTCGTCAGTCCTTGGAAGTTGGAACCTGAGATTAAAAGGACTGTAAGAAGTTCAGGAAAGCAGGAGAATCCGCAGCCTGTCGTTCGAGTCTTCGAGCCCAGGTGTGTTGGAGGCCTGCCTGCGGTGGCTGTCGGCTCTGCCGCAACCTTGGGAACCGGATGTGAGAATTCTTCAAACTTTCACCTGGCTAGGTGCGGACCAAGAAATGGAAGCCCTTCCATTCCATGTGCGCCGCCGCGTCTGCTACAGGGGCATACTCTCGCTCTCAACATCTCCGTGTGAAACGCATTCAGATCATGTCCAGGACGGTGCAAATACTTACTCCACTCTCAGGTTTTCTGCCGCAGCATCCGGAAGGCAGACTAGGGCAGACGGAAGTATTTCGATGCAGGTACCGTGCAAACCGTTTGCGCGAGATTCGGCAGAAGGAGGCAGCCGATGCCAAGGCAAATCGCTGTGAAGTTTGAGATCCGTGTTTCTGTAATCGCTGCATTCAAGGCCGCAGATGAGGCGGCGGCTGCATCCGAAGGGATCACCGTGCGGAAAGCAACTGAGATTCGGGTGTCGGCCCAAAGCGGTTGCAGCATGGATGAGGTCGTGACCTGCGCGTGAATTTGTGCTTTCGGCTTGTGTCAGGTGGTCACACGAAATGCTGCACAAATCTTGTCATCGGATTGTCGTCTCGCTTGAGCTCCGCTGTACCGTGACTCTGAAAACGGAAAGCCGCGGAGCAACGCTTCTCTCTAGACGCTCGCATGAGGCAGCCGCATCAAGCCGGTCAAGAGGACAGGAAGGCACATGACAAATTGTCAAGACGGATGTCCATTTTCCTCAACAAAGTCGTTTCCGGGCGAAGGGCGTAGAGGGGTAGCGTGTGTGTGAGCACCTGCCTCGCTTCGAAACTACAGACAATCTGGACATCTCCTGCGGTGACACAGGAGAAACGACTTGATGCATTTCTTATGTCTTTGGTATACTGAGCTATCCAGATGATTAGTGCCCCCTGTATGGGGCAGCATACAAAGTTGACCATTCAGCCTTTTCCGCCACTTCCAAACAGAGCGCCTAGACCAAATCGCATGTGGGCCGAGGCAGCAGGTTGTACGCGAAACTATACAGACTGATCCAAACCCTGGCACCCCGTACCTTTTCAAGAAATACAAACAAATTTCAACTGCCTGACCGGCCTGACCTTCTTTGATGTATACTGCATGTATGGCGCCCACCGAGACGTGTCAGACTAAGGTCGGCACAAGCCCGTTTCAGGCTCGCGTGGTCACGCTACTTGTGGCGTTTCTTAGAGTCATCAGAGCCTCCTTGCTTTGTGAGGCAACCCGGTTGATGCGCGCTTTCGATGTGTTCCCAGAAGAGGACTCCTTGGTCACATTTTGGACCAGGCCAGGCCTCGGGCCTAGGGCCTAGGGCCTAGGCTCCAGCAGTGACACGAAGACCGTCAGCCTCGGCTTTGCCAGGCTTCAGGTCGACTTAACTCGTCTGCTGGGCATGTTGAGAGAAAGGACAGGCTGTGTAAGAGCTGCGGGGCTTCTCAAAGTAACCACTGCTAGCCAGGCGAAAGTGTACGTGGCACGTGCCACCTGCCGGGGCCTTGAAACAGCTGAGGTCAAGGCAGGACAGTCGATGACAGACAATCTCTACATCAGTATGGCGTTTCGTGAAGTAACCGACTTCTGAATTCCAAGGCCACACGGGCTCAGCCGCGACATAAGAGTCCTGGCATTCTGTCCTGACGATCAAGTTGAGGACAGGTGGAGTTTAGTCCAGCAGTTGAATTCAGCATGCCAGCTGCAATCTCCAGGAGATGCTGGCAGCCGGGGCGGACTTTGCAGGCAGAAATCTACAGATCCAGCACGAGTTGATTTCTGCTTATGGGGGAGTGTCCAGTCACAGCTTGACCTCGCATGGCGCCGTATGCGAAACTGAAGGTTTCCCCTTTCCATTCGCGAAATCCTAATAATTCTAGGCTGGGATCACTAATCCAACTCCACAGAACCAGGGGTTAAGAAGCGAGATGCCGACAGAAGCTGCAGCTTCTGAACATCACATTAAGCTTAGCAACACATGTGGCTCATCATATCCAGATCCGCCGGGGTTTATGTGCGGAGAACGCCGCCATTCTCCTTACGGGTTCTCTCAAAGGAACAGACTTCTCACCGCAACAGCAAGTACAAGAATGGCACCTTGAAGTCGTAATCACAGACGACCATGAGCAGCTGAACGTGGCCAGCCGGAGGTATCACGGAGCCCATCAGAAGAATCAACCAAGGCAAGGCTTTTGCTTAGAGAGGTCTTGAAAATGGAAGTTCAATGCAGCAGGTTGGCTGGGCTTTGACCGCTGCTTGGCGACCCCGAGCATTATGTGTGGGACCAATGAAGCAGTCATCTGCTCATAAATCCGGAGTTCCTGCTCTCTGAGGCCGCAAGTTCTCAAGGTGGCCAAGATCCTAGGACCCAGGCCGTGCCAAACTGCTGAAGACTTCTTTGTCCTCCGTGACTTCATACAATGTCTGTTGCAGGAAGCTGATCCCCAATCCGAAGAGTGGCTCGGTGGTCACGAACCTGAAGGCCGCCATCAAGGAGGCAGACTCCCGCAAGGGCAAGCGTTCGGATCAAGAAGCCTTTTTGCCAGAGACCTTCGCAAGAGTCGAACAGCAATCAATGACCAAATCCTGCGGCTCGAGATTCGGAGCCTGAGAAGGTGTTGCTTCCCACAGAAAGTTCGAGCGCCTTGCGCACTCTTCGGCTAACGCATAGTTGTATGACCTTCGAGCATCGATGAGGTCGCGGAAAGCCCGGGTTTTCCACGATATGCACTCCCTGGCAGCTTCGCAAATGCGCTTCTGATCTCACGGCACTGATCATTTCTACTTCAAATCACTTCACTACTGCTTTCTTTCGACTTGTCTTGCCCGACTGAGAAGCACATTACGGCCGATGATGCTGCCGCATGCACCACCCCAAGCCCACAGATGACAAGCAACGGGATCCCGTGATGCCCATAATCGTGAGAATCGTTGGCTGCGTCGCAGGCAGAGTTGTCGCCATGGACCGGCTGTTCAGATGGAACCGTCGGTAAAGCTACTGGCGATAACGTCCAACAGCTTGTCAAAGCTCTGCATCTTGCCAACGTCTCGCACCCCGTCACGCAGACGACAAAACGGTGATCCGGTGATGCCGATGATGCGGGGTAGCACTGCGAGCATCATCGTTGACTGCCTTCCGCTGGCGCAGGACGAGCTGAGGCTCCTAACCTGCGAACGGGTGCAGTGGGTGCCGATGACAGCAGCGATCGACAAGCTGGCATTTAGGTCTCCGCCCACACCCTCGCCGCCAGGGTGTGGAGAGAAACGACGAGAGAGTGATGCCCATGATGCTGGCGAGAAAGCTTTTCCGTGACCCTTGGAACACTGGAAAGATACCGCACCCGAAGAACTGTGCCTCAACCGGGGTTTCGGTCTTGGTGGCATCAGAAGTCAGCGGTCAGCAGATCGTACACATTCATTGAGTGGCAGCCGTGCGGAGGCCAAGGGTGGGACGCTGTTGGAGTACCGTGCAGAGGGCGAGGGCGAGGTGAAGGTGCTGCGAGTGATGCTTTTATCAATGTCCGCCTGACAAGGCTGTATCCAGAGTGCCCGCACGAGGCAACCATTGCCGACACCAATTTCTCGGACGCAAAGATTTTGGAGAACTTGAAATTTCTCGCGCTGCGCTGATAGCATGATCTACAGAAAGTGCACGGTAGCGCCAAGCGCCGAGTCGACAGTGTGAGGTGCAGACTCTCCTGAGAGCCCGACCCCGGTCATCGACAACCGGCGCAGCGGAAACCGATGCGATGCGCAAGCCACCTGGCACTCCTTTGATCAAAGGGAAAGGCCTTGGCCTCAGGATGCCTCAAAGCCGTGGCAGATCTGACAAGGTTTGAAAACGTTTAGAAGCAGCTCGAGGTCCTACTCCCACCGACAGCGGGAGCAAGGTCTTGCAGATCCTTGCATGTACACTTTGTGAGCTGCAGCCAAGCCATGAATCAGGACCTTTACTTTCAAGAAGCATATCTTCGACTAGGGACGCGAGGTCCGCCCATCCGTGCGAGTCTTAGCCGCCTTCGCTCGTCGACCCAGACTTTGAGCCTCTCGGCTGCGAGGCATGGATCCAGAGTCGCTGCTGCCATCCTCTGTCGGCTACTTCAGATAGCTAGTCTGCTCATGCTTTCAAGAGCTTGCTGTATCCGAAGATCGCCTTCATCTTCCGTTCGGTCAAGCGAACATCTAGCTGGCCGGACGAGACTACGGAAGACCGTCGACAGTCCGAGAGTGTCGAAGGGAGAGTCTCGGTATCCACTCCTTTCCGAGCAGCTCCTTTCCGATGCTTCACCGAGAAGGCGCTGGACGCAGTCGTAGCAGACCGAGGCCACGACGGTCAATGGAACCCTGACACTGCATGCCTCGGTGGAGAGACAGTTGCAAAAAAACAACCACAAAGTGTACTGAACTGTGCTTCAGGCTCACGTCTCTGATACCGTCTAAGTCATGCTTCATCTGGATGTCTTTTTACGGCTCAGCTGCAAGAGGGCAGGCAATCCTGCTCGCTCTCTCAGGCCCGGTTATGCTTTGTATGAAAAAGGCCTCTTTCCACGCTTGCAGTTCAGGAACCCCAGAGCCATGGGGAAGAAAGGAGGTAAGAAGAAGGCGCTGGATCCCGAGGCTCGGAGAATCTTCCGGTGGGCTTCCAGGCAGCCGCCAAGTCTCGCCAGGCCGCAGCCCGGCAAGCAGCAGCAGAAAATGAAGAAAAGAAGCGGTGGCCCGGCTCAGGAGTTTAGGCTTCGGAGCTGTGAGATGCCCAAGCTGCTCATGCAAAGCTGACTGAGGATGGAGATGATAAGGGAAGCAAAGCGCCTGCGAGAAAATTGTGAGCGTGAGGAGATCCTCGTGCTGTCTTGCATGGAAGTGGGGTGGGCAACATGACAGACGCCAGATAATGAAGTGTGAAGGGCTCGCAGTTGTGCATACTGTTTACACAAGGATCGTGATATTGTTCAACAGAGATTTCGGGCTTCAGCACCAAGGTTTGGAAGTGTCTGGATCAGGAAGGTGCGTGCTCAGGCGAAATGGTTGTGTTTGCGGGGTGCCAGCTCGAAGCTGCTAGCTAAAGCAGGCATGTCCAAAGCAACACTGAAAAGGCTAATTGTTTGCGTGAGCCATTTTGCATTCCGTGAATCAATCTCATGTGTGCATTCAAAGCTGCATACCCAAAGGATGCGCATGACGCTCTTCAGATCGTCTTTTGCAACACCGTCGCCACAGTGACAGTCTATCTTGGCTTCGAGTCGCAAGCGGCACATCGCACCATCGTGTGGCAACTTCAAACTGCATGCGGCAGAACGTGACCACGCGTTGACAACGCCTGGCACTGACGAAACGCGGGGGCAGTAGCTGTATGCAGTGGTTACGCGACTATCTGACAGTCTGAAAGCCTCATTGCATGCATTGGGTGAATGTGTTTGCGTTAACACGAATAGCTGAGACGTTCGTGTAAGTTCTCGTTTAGGGCCTAGGGTTCAGTGATCTTGTGTTCCGTGCAGTTGAACCACTTTACAAAAGCCCTATCGCAGAGCTGCGCCAGCATCTGCCGTATGCAGTAGCTTGCAGTTCTCTATGAATCCTGCGGACTGTCCGACGAAAATCCAGAAACAGCACAGGGTCTCTCCCTGCTCAGTAACTTTGGAGGGTGAGTTTCTCTCGAACATGATGGAGACCACTCATTGTTGCTCCATGCCACCTCGTTTAGTGTCTGCCAGCTTCGTGATTTTTGAGTCGCAGACTGTCTCGTTCTAAAGGGATCCTGGATCCTCCTCTGATGGCACCATGAAGAAGAGATTCTGTGTGCTGATTCAGGAGAACCACTTTCACCAGTTTCTGATGGAGAGAGAGAAGATAAACTACTTCTGGATTGTGGAGAAGAAGACTCTCACAGAGAAGCAGGCCAGCCGCCAAGCATTGATTACGTTCGCGGTGTGTCACAGCGCGCAGCATGTAGATGCAAGCCATCCAGCCACCTTCTGATCACCGCGGAGGCTGACCTCCGAAACAAACAGCGAGAACTGCAAGATCTCGAAGAGCGGCAGCAGATCGAGCCACGGCCTCTGCAAGTCTGCATCGTGTCTGAACCTGGAATGTGTCACGGCAGAAATGCTTGTCAGGCTGAAGATGTTTCAGCAAAGGCTGAAACACTTAAGATATCACCAGCAGGATGAGGCTGCCTTTCCTGGATTTTTCAAGTGAAGGCTGTTTGAGTAGGGGTGAGTCTGTGGCAGGTAGTGGAGCTGAAGACTGACGCCGAGCTGTCTCTGAAGCTCCAGGAGGATCATCATAGAATCACAGAAGCTGAGATCAAGAAGGACCTTGGCCAACATGCTAGGAATGTCAGACACCGGACAGAGCACACTTTGCAAGCTCTGTTGATTACCGCATGTGTCTGAACGTTGGTCGGCAGAGGATCAACGGGCGCTGAAGATGGAAAAGAAAGAATCTGAAGTCGCACCCACCTCAGAACGAATATGTGCAACTCACGTCCAGCAGTCTCCTTTAAACACTTCTTGCCTGCATGGTTTCGACCAGGCACAGCAGGACTTCACTCGCATGCTGAAGTTGGAGCAGGACGGGTGCCTCTTGTTGCGCCGGGCATGGTGACATGATGTCAACAGCTGAGCTGAGATAGCAGCAATGTGCATTCTCGGCGCCAAAGGACCAGAAGATCTTGGAACTCAGACATGAGTGATGGCCCTGGCTCAGTGGTTGAGCCTGTGGTTTTTCTGCTTTCCCTGTCAATGCAAAGTTTGGAATCTTGCAGCGCGAACTCATACTTCCATCCCATATCCATCACGTCCCGGAGCTTTGGCGTTTCACATCTTTCGCCTGCCTCAAGGTTCGATCGGAAGGCCCGCGACATGCAGCAGAAGTACGAGCTGCGGATGAAGACCATCCGCGAAGAGATGGATGCTTGGATCAAACCAGGTGCAGGTTCTGCGCACGACCAATGGCAAATCACACGCTCATCTCCAACGTGTGTGTGTGTGTGGATTCGCAGCGTTTGCTGCTATGAAGACATCTGCTGTCTGCTGTTTTCATGTATATTTGGCAACTACGGCAATTTCCAACGTAATTTCCCCCACATCAGGAGAAGCAGAGGCGCAAACAGATTCAGAAGATCGAGGAGTTCAAGTCTCAGCACTTTTGATTCAGGTTCACGTCTTTGGCTCACGTTTCTGTGTTTATCTTGACGTGTAACACTCATCCAGGTCCAAAAATGCTCAGATCGAGCAGGCAGGACGATGCCTAGCAAGGCCTCCCTTTGTCCCTGTGTGCATCACAGGTTATGAAGAAGAACAATTTGGACTTCACTGAGATCAAGGCACGGTGAGCACTTTCAATCTAGTCTTGTACTCGCAGCCGGTCGTCCTCATGACTGCCAGCAGGTGTATTACCAAGAGATTACAGTTTCCAACTTCGACTCCATCAAGCGCCTGAAGGAGGCGCACGAAGCCGTCAAAAGGTAGTTGGCACCGCATGTGTACTGAGCATGCTGAGAGCATGCTAATGAGCACATCAGCATTGCATGATGCAGACGGACTGACGGAGATTTGCAAGTCTGCTTGCAGTCCACCAACTTCTGATCACGTGCAGCCTGTTGCATGCCGACATGCTGCTGCGTGGGTTGGTTCTCGCGAGTTTTCCTCTTGCGGTTTGACGCGTATCCTGGGGCGAGGACTATGCATCCATCAAGAAAGATGAGAATGACGACGCCAAGAAGATGTATGACCTCGAGCAGCGAACATGCCTCGGAAATGAAACGTCTCCGCCATTCTCGAGCGATGGGCTGTTGGATTAGCCTCACCCAGGAAGCAAACAGCTAAAGGAGCCAATGAAGAAGGCAAACCAGGCCTTTGCTGCTGCCTGGGATCTTTGAATGTCTGCTGGCCTAAAGAGAAGTCTTTGATGCTTGGCGACCCTGGCCAGGACGTTGAACGACTAGAGCGGGAGCAAGTCGCATACGAGGAGGCGGGCAGGGAATGACAGAAAAGTGGATACCCTGAGCACTGCCGAGCAGTCTTGGAGTAAGCATCGGCCCCAAGGACAAGAAGCGCCTCACGTCAGTCAAAGAGCAGATCAAGCAGTCCGAAACGTCACTCGTCTCAGTCATGGCTGTCTTTACTTCCTCGATGTGAACTTTACTTTGCAGGCTCCTGAAGCGCATGGAATTTCAGCACGAGGCCAGTGACAGACTACTACCAGCCGTGTACCTCCTGCAGCTGCACCGTTCAAAGAGTCTAAGCAGTGAAGCAGACTGGCGCGGCAGGTTCTGCAACAACAGCTTTCCCAGGTGACGTCCGAACGAGAGGACTGCCGGTGAAATAGCCAATTGTTCCGGGCTAGTAGCGGTAGTTCTGAATCTGGCACTGGAGTGCCAGTCGAAGGCTGCTGTTGCCTTGCTTGAGTTGTTTTGGATCTCTTAGCAGGACCTCTACACGAAGTTCCAGCAAGCGATTTACGACGACTGCTGCTTAGTCTCTCGCGTCCAGTTGGATGGTTCTACAGTTTTTTGGCTTCCGCCGTACTTCACCAGCAGGTTCAGCAGAGGAGTGGTCTGAAGAACCTCATCCTGGAGAAAAAGATTGACACCGTGGAAGAGGCCTCGCCAGGGTCTCGTCACTTCCGAGCACTTTAGTGCAGTGTGGAATCGTTGCCAGGCCCTGGAGACAACAGAAGCTCAAATCACAGAGCTGCTGGCGTCCGCCAATGCCGGACTCTTTGCTGTTCGGGGTTTGGGTTTAGGGTTTAAGTGTTGGAGAATGTTGGAAATGTTAAGGGTTTGAGAGTACAGGGCTTAGCCTCAACTCAAAAGATGTTGGCCAGTGTTTGCTCTTGAGCTTGCAAGCTTCATCCCCCATCCTCCAGACCAAATCTACCCGATCCTCCAGCAGCTATTCATTTTGTATATTGCACAGTCCCGGCTCGTTTTCGCGTGCCGGGTCTGCCAGTCATGCAACATACTTCGCACACAGCGGCACGATTCACAAGCTCTCATTCACACTTTTCGGGTTTGGAGGTTCGTGCGAAACCGGGCATGAACCGTCAGCTGGTTCCTGCACCCAAGGGGCAATATCCCAGCTCTTGAAAGACATGAGTTGAACCGTGATGCACGATGTACTCGCAGCTGCCTCAAATCTCGTCTTCCACAATCCTTCGCTTCAGCAGGGTTCAGCAGCCTCACAGTGATGGGCAACATTGCTTGGGCGTGCTTAGGTTCCAGGATGTAGTCGCGGGGGCTGTTGCACTAAAGCCCTCGAGCTGTTTGGCTTGAGATAGCAGGCTGGAATAAGAAGCACGGATCTCCCAGAGAAGGATCGAACGACGCTACATCAATTCGTATTGCCGCTGAGCAGACCGTGCAAGATTTCGCGACAGTTCACGAAATCGTAGACTTTCGCACGCAGAAGCGACAAAGTCCGTGTTTGAAGCGTTGCCAGCTTCTGGTGAGAACGTTGGCTATCATCTTTTGCCTGCTTGGCACAGCCCAAAGCTGCGGGTCAATAGGACGGAACAAGGGAGCCGAGCAAAGCTGTGGAACTAAACAAATCCTTGCCACACTAAGGTTGATCCGACAACAAGCGCTGGCATCACTCAGAAGCTGGATCAGGCGGGAATCTTCAGCCAGTTTCCGACTGCCGAGCTGCAGAGCTGTAACCCTGTCTAGGTGATTGCCTACAAGGATGACATCGTCTCCCAGCTGGAGGATGCGGTTGAAGGGCCACGAGAAGCAACACTTCAAAGCGCGCTGAGTGTCCGATTCTCACAGGAGGAAGTGCAGCGCATCAGGGACTCGCACTCAACAATGGCTCTTGCCTTGGCATACACCGTTGTCGGTTTTTCTGTGAGCGGCAGCGGGCTTCTACAAGTGGCCCGGGAAGGTCAAGACGTACGAGTCCAAAATGGCAGAGTACGGCGTGCCTCCGGAGGACACAGACTGTGCGCATAGGACCAAACCCATTATCCCGAGCCCCGTGCTTAGCCACGGATCTTCGCAGGAGCTCGGCTTCGTCCCAGCGGTTGGATAGGCACTTCCCGTGCGAGCTTTCCTTCTTGCTATGCACGCTTACCAGGGATGCTTCGGCCCTTATGTTGTGGATTGCAAGCTGCTTCCCCATGATGGAAAAAGCGAAGCTTCAGCTAAGTTTCTTGTTCCGATTTGAATCTGACCGACCCTGGTTGAAGCACTTGTCACCAGTGGAGGGCGAAGCCTTGGCCGCCACGAGTTTCACAACCAATTTGCGGTTTCACGAGCAAAATGCGAGATTGCCTCAAGACCGAAAGCCACGGTGAGCTGCGGAGCGTGTGTTCGAGTTTGCATTCGCAAAACGCCCATGGGCTCGCATCGGTTCATCCGCCGTCACCTTGAAGCAAGTCAAAGATCAAGCCATCCCAGCCACGTAGCATAGTATGAGCTCCTAAGCCCCGTAGCTGCACTGCCATGGCATCTGCATCGTGAGACAGGCGGCCATGGCAGAGGCTAGTTTTGGGACCATTCGCATGCAGCCTTCCCAGAGATTGTGCATTCGATGTGTAGCTGGTCAAGTGCACCCGTGCCAGGAGCTCTTCTGCCTCTAATGGCCTCTAAAGGCCTGAGGGTGATCTTTCAACTTCTTGGTTGGACTGTATTGTGCCCGGTCATCTGCTCTGCAGCAGCAGGCCCATGTTGATTACCACCACTCGCCATCACCACCACTACAGCCACCACCGGCACCACGGCCGATACTGACTGCGCTGTCGCCACCCCGTCCCCTACCGGCACCAGCAACACACCAACACCGCACCCAGCACCCAGCACCCAATACCCAGCCAGCAGCACCAGCATCCGGACCCTGCTCCCGCTCCTGCACCGCACCTGCACCGGCACCCTGCACCCGCAGCCAGCCGCAGCCGCATCACAACGACCCACACCTGCAACCAGCCGCAACCGCATCGCACCTGCGGTACCGCAGCACCCGAACCGCCAACGGGCCACCGGCACCGGCACCAACAATAGCACCACCGCCAGCAGCAGCAGCAGCAGCAGCAGCAGCAACACCACCGCGAGCATGAGAACCAGGAGCACCGGCACCAGCACGGCACCAGCACCAGCACCGGCACCGGCACCAGCACCAGCCAGCACCACCACCACTGACCCCGCCGCCCCCACCAACACCACCGCTCATCATTATCGTCATCATCGTCATCATCACCATCATCACCATCGCCAACAGGGTTTCTTGTCCGTCACGACCACCAGCAAGCTCTTCATCGCCAGTGCGCATCATTATCACCAAGGCAAGCATGAAAGAGAATCGAAGTTCTTGGTAGTTCAAGAAGATGTCGGAAGTTTTCAATCACCCGGTCGGTAAAGAATCCAGAACACCTGTCGCACCCCCAAGACCGACTAAAGGCATCGGAATATGGTGTGTTCTTCCCTGCGACCTGTCACTCACGTCTGCCGCTTCGTGGCGAACTCCCCGCGCTCGATTGATGCGAACCGCTGTGCTCGAAGCTGTTCAACTTCAGAGGCTGCGTTCCAGCTGGCGAGGGCGGCTGCCCAACTCGGGCTGTTTCAATGATGTCCATGCATGTCCCCTGATCCGCCTATCGCAGCATCCCCGGCGTTCGTGCTGCGTTCCCGGCGTGCTCCTTGCTCCAGCTCGTGGTGGGTGGACGAAAAGTGAATCAGGCGCTGCGAGAATGCCAATAATATGCAGAACATGCTGCTTAGAGCATGAAGTGGCTCTACATTGTCCTAAGATCGGCGATGTAGTTTCTAGGGCAATCCCATGAGCAGCTGACCTGTCAAGGCAGAAATGGACCTACCCGGCCCCATGTCGCGGTTCCTCGAGCCGTTTTGCTCACGAAGGAGGCACGGGTTGAGAGAGTGGCTTTGAATAGGAGACTTACAAAATGTCGACGAAGAGCTCCTGCCAGGACTTGGAGAACTTCCAGAACAACGCCCTATCACGGGACGCTGTCTTGTGGCATGTATGTTCTTGGACAGTGCTGTCTACTCCCTTTGAGGTCGAGCTTGCCTGCTCTCTTCGATGTTTTGTCGTAAGGAAATACAGCAATCATGGTCACTTGACAGGCTCAAGCTTTGCGGCAAGCTAAAGGGGACTCGCGGTTTGGGCTCCTGTTGTGGAAGACCGTTGGGAATTTCCAATTTGCAGGGTCATGTTGTTCCCTCAGCCAGCCACACGGACATGCATTGAACTCGAGGAATATCTCGATTGTGCAATGCTCCCTCAGCTAGCCATACCGAAGAAAGGCAAAGCCTGCCACACCCAGCACACAAAAGCCCGACCACACCGAAGCCTCCACCATTGCAACCGTGGCAATCATCCCAATCCGAGTTTGTTCACACCACACCTTGGCCCTCATCATCATCATCATCATCGTCGTTGTTATTGTCATCATGGCAACCATGTTCGTCGTCATGTTGCATCATTTTCTTGTCCCATTTCCCACGGACCATCATCGTGGCACCATGACCTTCGTCGGCCCAAGCACCATGATCCCCACCCATCATCACGTCATCCTCATCCTCGTCGGTAGGTCTGGTGTCCGCCGGCCAAACACTACTCTTAACGTTGACTGTGTGCCTTCTCGTCATTCTGTTTAGGTTTAGGGTTTGCCATCGGCTGATCCGGTACCTAACACATGTTAAGGGCTTGCCCAGAGAAGCTGCCATCTCTCCATGGGCTACATCTTTGTTTTGAAATTGTCGAAGTGCTGACTTAAACCCCTGTAATTTTTAGGGTTTAGGGCTTGCCGAGGTTTGTTGGCCAGATTATGAAGCTTCCTGCAACATTGCGTCCTACTTTACCGGCCCAGCATCATTTGGGGAAGTGTCAAAACTGCGGTGTCCCTCAATGATCCCCACAACAGCAACACTAGTGGCAAAAATAGAGATAGGACAACCATGTTAATAGATGCAGAAGCCAGTGCAATCGTCTCACTGGTAAGGGTTGCATGAAGCGAGACATGGTAGAAAGAAGTTCAAGGCAACCATGAAGTTAGATGCAGAGGAGGAGAGTGAGACAAAAACGTGGAACACACCACCATTGCTACAGGTACGGTAAAGCTCTAGATGACAATGCTGCAGTGTTGGCAATGTTGAGAACGCAAGAGGTAAGACATGCCGACACACAGTAGTCAGAAAATGGAGTACAACGGCAATGTTGAGCCGCTTCACAAAGGATATTACACACGAGAGTGATGCTCATAATGTGATATCTGTAATCATCAACATCGCGATATCTTGAGTGTATTTATGGGGTACGATGAGGCCCATGTCAAAAGCTTGCAGCAGCGAAGGCACCTATTGAGCTTAAAGTTCATAGATTTAAGATGTTTCTTGCTTGTTGACACTGGGACGGGGACATATGGTATAGGTTTACCTATCATTGATTTATCGTTCCGGAAGGTCTGTAGGTTATCACAACAGCATCGTTTTTTGTATCGTGTCTGGATCTGGATTTGGGTGGTTGTCATCCATTTATTGTTTGGTCCGGTCGGCATGGTCCAAATCGACATCAACTGTTGCCGAAGACTCAAACCCATTGCCAGCTTGTCAAGCCGCCAGCTTTGCCAAAAATCGCTGCTTAGGGCAAGGCGAGGAGGGTCACCCGCACCTCCGCATTGGCCTTGGGCCCTAGACCCGTGCTCCCCGTCATAATTCAAGGGTTCGTATCTTTTCCTCCCCTCTATGGTCACTACTCGACAGTGATGCAGAGAATTGTCAGAGCTGCAGGATTCGATCAGCTCTGTGTTGCCGTTTGGGCCTGCTCGACAATTGTCCGCAGCTCCTGTCGTGTCAGTGTGTCGCTGAGAAACTCCTGAGTTCGTGCTCCCAATTCGACTTGCTTGTGGAGGGAGTGCAGTGTTGCACTTTCTGTACCTCAATGTCTGCGACTGAGTGAGGCTCCCTCTTCTGCGGCTGCCAAAGGACCGCAACCCACGGCTAGCGCAAGAATGCATCTGGGGCACTTGCGTGCCATCAAGGATCTGCAGCTTCGGGCCAGTCTGGTTGGCCCCCGCCTCCAAGGAGGAGAACGAGGCAGTTGGGCTGGCACTGTGGTACTCCACACGCTGTGAGCAGTTTGTTCGCAAGCGGTTCATCTGAGCAATGCAGGGCTCTCACGGCTCCTCAGGCACTTGCGACACCTCAGCCCATGTAGCGCGCTTAAGGTCAAAGCAAGAGCCGTCAGTGTTTACCTCAACTGTATTGACGACTTCGTTTCCTTACATACCTTGCGAAATGGGGTCTGCTGCTTCGCTCCTGAAAGATGTGGAGCGCGCGACGCCTGAGCAATTGAGAGCTGCAGCGAACACGCTCTCTGCTGATCAGCACGCAAAGGTGATTGCAGCTGTTAAACAGCTTCATGCCTTTCCGTGCGAGACAGACGCGGGTGCCGTTGTAGCAGTCGCGGGCGAGAACGAGGACGGCGCAGATGAGGCTTTGGCGGCTGAGTTGGCAGAGCAGGAGAAGATGTTCCTGAAATGCTTGCGGAAGCGTGCCGAGAGAGAAGCCAAGAAAAAGCTGGAAAAGGAGGAGAAGAAAGCTGCAGCCAAGAAGCTGAAAGAGGCGGCCATGGAAGCAGCTTTCGACAATGAGCTAGACAATCTATTGAAGCTGCTGGATGAAGGGGTTGAGCCAGAATGTACGGATGAACACGGCACAACCCTTCTCTCTGAAGCCTGTGCTGGCAATGCGCAAGATGTGGCTGAGATGCTGATTGGCGAGGGCTGCGATCCCAATTCGGTCGGCCGCTATCGCCGGACCCCGCCCCGTGGTGGCATCTGGAGCGACTGTCGTAGAACACCTCTCCATGAGCCAAGAGGTTTTCGGAAAACGCGCCCAAAAATAGGTTTGGAAAGCACAGCGGCCCCGATTCCGAAAGCGGCCGGCCGATTCGGCAAACACCGACGATTCAGACAAAAAGCCGCACATGTGCTGATACCGCCCAAGATCTTGTTCAGGGTTTCGGGTGTGTCGAAGAATATCTCATTTTAGGGCTTCGGGTTGCCAACTAAGTAACTAAGAGCTTCCCCTTCTCGGGTCTGGTGTTCCTGTCCACGAATATCTTCTTGGTTTATCTTGTTTTAAGGTTTGGGGTTTGCCTCCAACGGTCTTCTCTTAGGGCTTGGGGCTTGGCAAACCAATATCTACTTCAGCGTTTTGGGGTTTGTGGCCGCCCACGGTCGACAGAAAGAGTTGGGGGTCTGCCTGTCAACATCTTGTTCCTTTCAGAGTTTGCCAACCAGTGTCTGTTCTGTTTTGGGCTAAATCACTCCCATTACACGGCGACGCATGGCGATTATCCAGCTAAGTGTTTCGGAATTTCGAACATCGCTTTTCTGAACTTCGATTGCTTCCTCTTTGCTTTCGAACTGGTTCTCCGAATCCTTCCACATCCCCTTTGCGTTTGAAGCCAGACTGCAGCCCAGGCTTTGGCGCGCGGCCTATGCTGGCAATCACGAGCTTATCCGTCAACTGTTGCGGTCAGGTGGTGATCCGCGGGAGTGCGACGAGCAAGGGGCAAGGCCCATCGATGTAGCAAGCAATGCCCAGTCGCGTGAGTACTTGGTTTGTTGGGACCCAGCGTCCACGGACCGAATCAAAGACGACAAGAGAAAGGCTGCCAAGAATGCAGAGAAGGAGGAGAAGGCCAAGTTCAAGAGGCAGCAGCAAGAGCTGGTGGATTCCCTGGAAGAGTCTGAGCGGCGGATGCAGGTGTCGAAGAGCGAGCTAGCAAGGGCTCGGAAGTTGTTGGTCGACTATCGTCAGCAGAAGGTATCTTTTGTCGAGCAGGGTGCCTCAGAGAAGCTGGCGGAACTGGAGCCGCTCATCGAGTCAGCAGAAGCGCAGGTGAAACTCTTCGAAGGCAGCGTGCAGGAATGGGAGTGGAAGGCTTCCCGGGCAAGGTTAAAGATGAACGACCTTGAGCAGGCCAAGAAAGAAAAGGAAGCCAAAGCGGCTGGAAAGCTGAGAGGCTTCAAGGTTCAGGTCAACTGCGCTTCGTTGGAGGAGCTTGAGTCTATCCTGCCGAAGTTTAGCAACACCCTGGAGGCAGATCTGCTTATACTTTTCCCAACATCTCGTTTCAGTTAAAAGAGGGGTGCGGGATTAGGTTTTCTTTTGGGGTGTGGGACGGCATTTTGGGGTGCGGCGCCAGAGGGCCGGATGGTGCGCGATACGCAGGGGTTCGGGCAGGGATTCCACCTGATCCCGGCAATCCAAATTTTAAGAAAACGGAGAAAACTGTGGCCACGGGGATGGCGACTCGGAGTGTGCAGGGTATATAGAACCCTGGAGATTTCATTTGGTGCCTTTGTGCTCCGACTTGACCTTGTTTTGAGCATGAGAACGGAATCAAGGCCTCCCATGGAGCTGCTTGAAATACTGAGCTGTAAGCGACAAGCACCGCGTACCAGTGAACTCTCCGATGTCAAAGGCTGAATGCATAACTCTGCTTGAGCGCGATGTGTTCCCCCCGTTACACAGGCGAGCGAAGACTTTGTTTGGAATGACATCGATCTTGTGAAGGGGGATGCGCTGATCAAGGATGGACCATTCAGCCATCTGAAAGCAAGCCGCCAGACTGGGTTTACCGGTTTAGTCAATACAAATGCCGCCAGCAGACAAGGATCCCAGTCGGGTATTCTCTCTTCAGGGACACAACAGGAAGGACTAAGATTTCTCTGCACTTTGAGATTCTTAGAACCCTGAAGTGTGTTCTCTTGGAAGGACATATATAAGATCATATAAGCGTAGCCGGGGGGAATAGCGAATGCTCAAAATGGCTCAGGTGAGTTCAACAAGCAATTCCTTGAGGGCTATGGCAAGCCGTCGGAAGATGCCGAAGCTCAGACTGAAGGCCAGCCTAGAGACACACCCTGAACCCCAAACTGCCCTAACCCTGAACCCTGAGCCCTGAATCCTAAACTCCTAAACTCTCCGGCTTTCGGAGCAGGCGCATGTGATTTGCCGTGAAACGGATGATCCATACTCCGAGTGCTCCGTTTGTCTCCCGTTTACAGGAGAAGAGAAAGAAGAACCCTTTCCGCTGATCCTCAACTTCTCCAGAGGCTTTAACCGCACGGTTCCCATCAAAGCCATTGCAGATGCTCCGTCAAAACCATGTAAACTTTTGATGGAGTTCTTGAGAGTCAGGCAAGTGGTTTTGTTTCAGACTGTGTAAGACGCGGCATCTGAGGATGTGATGCTGAAAGATGTTGGTGGCTTGAGAGCGGAGGATGGCCGGTGGCCGTTTGTCATAGACCCCTCCGGTCGCACTTCCACCTTCATCAAATACTCGGGTGCGGCAGTCGCTAAGCAGCGCTTAGAGGCTACTGTAGGCGTCAGTCTGAGTTCTGGTGAGCAAACGTGAAGGTTTTCAACATCGTGGAACTGAAGGACACTGGCTTTCTGCACACTAGGCACAGCTGCATGTACCTGTTACTGAGCAGGACATGGAGCCACTTCGCCTGCGACGAGCTTTCTTAAATTCCCTCATCCACGGCGGTGCCATTCTGATAGATCTTGGAAGCTTCGTCCAGGCCTCAGGTGACCATCAAACGTTCAAAGTAGTCGAACTTGGCCCCAAATCGACAAGTGGACACGTGGAAAGGACACAAAGATTGATGTGGTGGCTGACAAGTTCAACGACCTTGAGAAAGGGCTCTTTGCGAAACTTCTCGACCGTGCCGTTCTGCAGCTCGGTTGGGTTGTGATCATGAGATCCATCCTGCAACAAGCGTGGTGCAGCCTGCGCAACTGGAGCGGCAGCTGCCAGCCTGCTAAAGGTATGCCTACCTGCTACCGCGGCGCTTTAAAAGCTTGATTGTGAAGGACTGCCATGGCAGCATTGGGAGAGCCCGTCCCTGCACTATGGGAAGGTTAATCTAGCATGCCTTGGCCCAGGAGATCGCACAGGATTTTCAGATAAGTGCATTCATGGACGCAGCACTGTCCAAGTTGCGCAGCTGCATCTTATGCCAACAAGCGTAGCGTGCGGCTTGGTTGTTGGATTGCGTCTGTGTCAAGGTTTGTGTTCGGCTTTGTGACCTCCTACCGGGATCCTGATCTGGACTTTGCGAAGCAGTCACTTGGAAACACAAAGGGAATATTCTCCTGCACGTGCGCCGGTCAGATGCCCGAGGTTTTACACGATCAGTGTCAAAGGAGGAGACGAGGATGATGCATGAGAGCCGTACACCGCAGTGGGTTCCTGTGACCTTTGGACGGCCCTCTGCAGTGGGTCGTAGTGAGAGCGCGACACCCAAAGCTGGTGGACCCTTGACGACAAAAACCCGAGCGCCCGAAACGGCACAGAAGCCAAATGGAAGTGGAAGCAGGCAGAGGAAAACGACTCTTTTCAGGTCTGCTTCGGCTCGCCGCGGAGCGAACCTGGACATGCTGGGTCCCGAGTCCCAGGCGAAGCAGAAACGCTTTGTCCGTTGAGTTTAGGTCGCCTGTGATTCCGACCGGCCTTCCGTGCGCAACGGAAGCAACACCTGCCTGCCGCCCAGAGAAGCTTGAACGAACTGTCAATGATTTTTGCAGAGTTCTCGGCGTGTGGCGGGAAGTGCCCCTGCCCAGGCCAACAACATGGTCTTTTACGGTGCGTCCGCAGCGCCAAGTTGCCGAGAAGCGGCCTTGGCTGCAGCGAAACAGAGCGCCGCTCTCAGCCGCTGCTAGCGCTGCTTTAGCCCTCGGCCTCGGTGCCCGGTGGAATCTCCTCCCACGTGGAGGCTTGGCGAAGCCTTCACGGGTGGTGCGGGCCAAGACGCTTGCGCTGGCCTGAAACTCCTGTCATGAGACGGGCCTTGTGATCACGGCTTTGTTCCTGCCCACGGCCGTCCTAGTCCCGCATGGATCGCATCAGCCCGGAGCCTTCAGCAGCTGCGGGAGGCAGTCTCTTGGCCAGTGACTCCGCCCTTTATTAAACTGTGTCCATCGCAGGTGATACCGAACTGGTGCTACAAGGCCACGACCCTCGAAGGCCACTACCAGAACTTTTGGCTAAAGGGTGGTTTCAGTGCGTGACTTTGCTGTGGCCCCTGGTATGTCAGGATATTGAACAACGGGGGCATCCGCCAAGCAATCCCCGAGGCAGCATTTGCTCTTCCAGCTTCCAATGTAGTATGTATGAGGAGCGCGTCAAGGTTTATGCGATGAGGGCTGGGGAATCACCACGACGGCGGTTGCCAGTCATTCGCTGGCACAGGTCTCCCCAACGGCCGCAGATTCGAGCCCAGACGCTGTTGCTCCCAGCATTGTCTGGTGCTTAAGTCCGGGTTCTTGGTGTGCAAGCTGCAAGCACTCCCCATAACGAGCGGCATCTGAAATTCCTACTGAGGGCGCCTTTCTTGGCTGGACTCCTCTGCTCGTCACTTCGGCAAAGACAGAGACCAAGCCAGATGACTTGTGGGGACGGCAGCTCGACACGATCAGGTCAGCGGGCATGCAGCTGCAAGCCCTTTCTGCCCTCCAGAGAGCTCTGAAGCTCCATGGGAGGACGCCGAGCGAACCATTCTGTGCACTTTCTCACATTTGGTCACAGCTGTGGCAGGAGGAAGAATGGTCTGCCAGCGAGGCAGAAGGCAGTGAAGCGGAGTTCGACTATCGCCAATACAGGTATCGGGAGGTGGTGGCTCGCAGGACTGAGAACGCACCAGACGTCGGGGTGCGACGAAAGGTTCGACGGGGGCACCGTTCCGCCAATACAGAGATGGCAAATTCGGATGATGATGCGGTGGATGCATGGAATGTTCATTCCAACAATCAGCCAGAAGAGGCTTGTCTTCTCGCGCCCTCCAGCCGGCTGCTTGCAGATAGTGAGAACTATTTGGATGCACCTTGTGACGAGGAGCTGTCAAAAGTTGCCGGTGTTTTAGTTCAGTTTTACGGCCTCGGCAAGGAGGCCATCAAGTTCAAAGGAGCTATTCCCAACGTGCTCCTTGTGTCGAAGGAAGCTTGGAGTTGCAGGGGCCGCAGAGACAGCCAGGCAGAGGAACCACCGGTTCTTTGGATCAGAGGTGGACGAGTGTATGACTTCCATGGTGACCGTGGCACCGTTGCAGAATTTGAGCACGATCTTCTTGTGCGTCAGGTGGAGGATGATGCAATTTGCCGCCAAAGGCGGCAGAAGCAAGGGCTCATGCCCTTTCCGTTTGCGGCCTTGCCCCTCAAAGACAAGGCTAGTGACGAGCAAGACGATGCAGAGGCTGTCGCTGTTCGTGATGTCCGAAGGCGGATATAAGCTTTGCCATGCGAGTTTAGTTGGTGGCGTTCCTGCGCAGCCCCGACGCATAGCACGACTTCTGAATCCTACTAGTGCAGGTATGCCACCTTGCATTTGCAACAGAGCGTTGTGCACAGGGTAAATGCCAGTGCCTCGTTTAGTTTCACCAGGCTTTTTCCGGTCTAAAGCCGTTCGAAGGTTGTGAAAGGCCTTTTCGTGGTGATTTTGCCGGACGGGCTGTCTTCTAGGTGTTGTCGATTCCATCAAGTCTGCTCTTGTGCCAGACTCTGCCAGACATACGTTTTGCTTCTGACATCTTTGGCTCAGCTAGAGCTGGGTCCAGCGGGTGAAAACTGCGCCGACGCTGCGGACGCTCTCCTTGAGCCCTGCTCTCGGGTTTAGAGGGAGAGAAAGAGCCCCAGAGAGGGAGAGACGCTTCACATCAAAACCCGGGATGCAGCAAAGACTGCAGCGACTCGAACGGAGAGGCTCATGCAGACACACGGAGGATCTTTTTCTGCTACCTGTGAAGGACTTGAAGTCATGTGGAGTCCTGCGCGCGATCTGGCGGGAACTGGTGCAACGGAGAGCGGCAGACACTACGCTGGCATATCCGTGCCAACAGCAAAACAGAGGACCAACCCACGCTCACCAGCGGGAGGGTCCAACGAAAGTAAGTGGCCACGAAACCATTCCCCGATTCAAGTGAATGTGGGGAGCTGTCGCTTTGTGTCATCCTGAGTTTCTTTGGCACCAATGTTGAACTGCAAGACTCCTGTTAGAGCACATGTGCAGAATGTACCCTGGGGCCTGCTCTGTGCCTTGTAGCTTCCCGTGGCGGAGAGACGCTGCAGCGCCAAATCCAGGGTCCTAGTCTTCGTGCTGCCGCAGATGTCACACAGTTGAGCACATCTGATCTTTGGTGTGGGAGGAGGTCAACGTAGCCGGCACACACGCTGTGGTGGCTTACATCTTCCAATGATCTCGGGTTCGATTTCAACACTCCCGCTAGAGAACTGCAAACATGCTTCGAGTCCCTTGAGCCAGAGCCATCGGGAAGGAGTGAGAACTCTGTGGCAACTGTGCAACTCTGAGGGCTGCTTCTGTTTCTGCTGAGGCCAAGTGATGGGAAAGTCGAACAAAAGCTTCTCGGCATGTTAGTTTTGACGCGTCTTCCTTTGACCATACCGCAAGCTCATCCTGTTTTTTGCTTGAGGAAAAGCCACAGGGGGTGGCAAGTCGTTGCCTGAGAGCAATGTCGTGGGACCCCTTGACACGGGACTTCGGATGCATTCGGTGTTCCTGTCAGGCGACCAGGGAAGAAGAAGGCGGGAGGGGCGGATTTCTCCGAGGACGAATTGGAGGAGGCCAGTGTTGCTTGTCCAATTCTCCTGCAGGCGATTGATGGGCTGTTGTGGGACTTCTTTTGGACTTTGGGGCTGCAGTTTGGCATCTGTCGGCGGCCCTTTCCTTTGAACGGTCCATTGTTTGGCTCCAGCATCAGTATGAGACATCTAAGAGACTTTCAATTGCCTTCCATCGACATTTAAAGTGTTCCTTCGACATTTCATGTGTCTCTAGACGCGGGGGGTGCTTCAGACGCTTCTCAAAGGCAGTAGCTGCCTTTGTCACGAGTCTGGTAGCTGTGACGAGCCCTTTTGCCCTCTTGCCCCCATGTATCCGGCAGTCTCCGGCGCCGGTGATGTTCCGGAGGAGGCGCCAGGCTTCAGGCGATATACGTATCGAGAGCGCCTCGGGCCTTGAATAGCTTCAGCGCCTCAAAAAAGGGCGTTAAAAAGGTGACGAGGTGAGTTGATAATGGTAGTCATGCTAGTAATGGAAGCCTTTCCTGAATCGAGAAAGCCGCCGACGGAAGGTTTTAAAAACAAGAGTTTGCGTACAGCAAGAAGTAGCAGCAGTAGCCTCTTGCTCAATGTTCCTTGATCATTTTTGCAATCTTTGGTGTGATGGATGCAGCTTCTTCTGCGCCATCGCAGCTTGAGCAGTTTGTCCCGCAAGGTTTGGCGAGGAGTGCACAGCTGAATTCGACGATGCGCACCTCGCGTGGAGCGGAACCTTCGAGTCGAACACCTCGACGGCACATGGTGAGTACCAGGACCGCTTGCGAGCCATCCATCTTCGGAAGCAGGGCTGGTCGAAAGCAGACATCGCGAAGGATGTCGGACGGTCTGAACGATTTGTAGCTCGCTGGTGGCAGCTGGAGCCGTTGGCAGTGCCGAGACCTCCAGGTGTCCACCAATACTTGGCAACCACAATGGCAGGTGGCAAACAGGCAGATCGCACTCACATGTGGCGTGGGGTAGAAGTCTTGCGAGGTTTTTTCACAGACACAGCTGGGCTGTACGACGAGATCGTCTCTGGCTTCACAGCTTGGAAGCAGGGTGCATCGGAAACAAAGGATTTCCGGACAGCTTCCTACTTCCTACGCTACGACCGAGAGGGCAAAATGAAGATGATGACGATGAAATCAGCTTCCTACCAGCGCTCGGTGGTGCCTAGATTGGACTTGTTGGTGCAGAAGATCCACCAAAAGGTCGGGATTCAAGACCCTGATCATGGCGCAGCCATGTACTGGTTTTCGGATGGCGACGCGAGTGTTGGCAGCCACCGGCATGTTTTCTGGAGTGCGCGAGTTGCGCTCGGGGCCGAGCGAATTATGATGGTGGACAAGGTTCCCATACTGATGCAGGAAGGAGACCTGATCGTCATCGGTCCCCAGCGCCATGGGGTTCCTACCATGCCGGAAATCAGCGAGGGGAGCCTTCGCATTTCGGTTCCCTTCACGCCGCAGAAGCGTGACAGCAAACATGTGCATCAAGCCCCGTCAGCTCAGACCGAAGATGCAGAAGAGGAGGACGACGAGCGGTGGTATCCTGTGCAGGAAGATGCTGACTGGGAAGATGCTGAAGATGCAAACCCGACAGACGATGGGGGCGGTGGCTTGCAGGGCTTGCAGATTCTGATGGACATGGGCTTTGACGCTGATGCATCTCGCAGTGCCCTTCAGCTCTGCGGAGATGTGGAGCAAGCCATCGAAGCGTTGACCGGCGGATTTGCCGAACTGCTGGGCACATCGGCAGAGGGTGATGTTGACGAGGCTGATGCAGACATGGATGCGGGCGATGCAGTTCTTGCACGAAAGCTTCAGATGGAGGAGCTTCAGCGAGAAAGTCCCGATCAACTTCAACAGCAGTTCGACGAGTACCAAAAGCTGCTCGATGTGGACGATGCAGAAAAAGCCTGGGACGGATACGGTGATTTGATGCACAATTCTTTCCGAAGAGCCAATCTAAATTTGGACATGCTTGGTGCCCAAACCATATACTCTCTTGGCGTCGCAGCTCAAACAGAGAAGCAGTTCTTCGAGCTTTTATCATTACATTCCGTTCGAGTTGTGTATGATTTTCGGCCGACGGACTATCGCGACGAGGTTCGATGCCAGCAACCACATTTTGAGATCCGCGCCTTCAAATCAAACTGCCGTCAGCGTGGCATTCACTATCGTCACGTTGCGGTAGGGCGGGAGACAGCATGGGGTACCCTTAAGCACCTGCAAAGTGATGAGGTTCAGCACATCCTCGTGGAACTGGTGTGGCGAGCCAAGCACCATGGGCGAACCGCCTTTCTGGGTCAAGAGGAAGATTGGCGTGCGGACGGCCGTTTGGTCGTTGCCGAAGAGCTTGAGAAGCATGGTCACGCGGTGCAGCACGTGAGATCAGAAGGGTCTCTTGAGAGGCATACAGTTGGTGTTGAGATACCCGACTTCCTTCTCCAGGAGGAATCTCGACTAAGAAAGGTGCATGCCCAACGGAAGGCGGGAGAACTCCACAGGCCAGAAAAGTCTGCTGTCAACCGCAGCTTGGAGTCTGTGGCGCGATCCTTGGCGACGGAGAAGACCCAGGTGGATGTCGGCGCAGAGCTTCGGGATGCCGAGAACCAAACGGACTTGGTGCGAGCGCAGAAGCGCATGGTACGCCTGCAGATGTCCGAGAGCAAGAAGGAGGCCGGACTGAGCAAGAAAGAGCTTGTGGCCGTGCCGACGCACATCGCCAGAGAGGCAGCCAGCATCAGGGAGAAGGTGGAGGCTAAGCAGAAGGAAAAACTGCAGAGTAAGGCTGTGGAAAGTGCGCAAGCGAGTTACGCAGCGAGTAGCTCGCACGAAACTGCTGCTGAGTTGGCAGAAGCTTCAAGGGCCGCGCCCGCTGCCGCTTCCGCTGCCGCTTCCGCTGCGTACCCGAAGGCGGAGACCGCGGGGCGCCGAAGCCGATGGAGCCAGGCGGCTGGCCCGGCTGGCCCGGCTGGCCCGGCTGGCGCTGGTGCTGACGCCGACACGACGACGGAGACGAAGGAGCCCGGCTCCGAGCTGAGGCCCGAGGGCGCCTCAGCTCGCGAAACGGCCGAAACGGCGTCAAGAAGCCGCTGGGACCGAAGGAGAGAGAGAAGAGAAGAGACTTGAAGAGACCAAGGCAAGGACCAGGCGAGCAGGTGACGCCGACACTCTCAGTCACGCTTGTCCTTGCGGAGATTCCTATGTGGAGATGCAGATGCTGGAAGTGCCGGCCCTTCAGCAATAAGGACTTGAGTCTTGAGTCTGTGGCGCCCGGTGGAGTCCTTTCGGAATTCTGCGGCGCATGGTGGAGTCGGAGGAAGCAGCTGCAGCCGAAGCAGAAAGAGCACGGAGGAATCTGTCTGTCAAATTGCAGCTCCAGACAGGCACCGCTCCTCAACAGGCTGCTCGGCCAGCGCGATCATCGCGTGCTCCGAAGAGAAAAAGCAAGCGCCAGCGAAACAAACGGGTAGTCCTGTGTTTTGAAGTCCCGGGACCTTCAAGTCCCGTACCTTATAAGGAGTGGGTCACGCCTCCTGCCACTGCTGTGTGCACTGTCAGGAGCAGCAGTTCACAGCAGCGGATCTGGACGTGGATGCTGTCAAGGCAGAAGCCGCCGAGCAAGAGCAAGAGGAGAAGGAGCCTGCATTCGATTGCACAGCCTGCGCAGCCTTTTTGCCAACATGGAGAGAAGTTGCCCTGCAGGAGGTCCAAGCTGAAGGGGAGGCCCGATCACGACTCGCTTGTCTCGTCTGTGATACCTCTTTGGCCCAGTGCTTTGGGTCGAGACCTCAAGCGCAATGTGTAGGGATATGCGCACATTTGAGTCGCGAGTCTTGGAAGCTGAGATAGTGACTATGCCAATGAACCCCGAAGGAGTTCACTCAAATCCAACTTCGGTTGTTTCCTGTGTTTTCTCTATCGGTAGTAGGTTGTAAACCCCAATGGTGCCATCAGCTGGCGACAGCCCGCAAGACCTTCTTGCCAGCAGCCGCTAGCCATGGGATGGCCGCCAAGAGCTCAGCATTACCTTTCGAGTGAAGCTGAGCCAGAACTAGCACTTGGTCTCGCCGAGGCCGTTCAAAGAGAACTTTTTTTGATATGCCGTTCTTGGTCATGTCAGTGATGTTAAAGGTACGGAGCATACGGCTCATCGCATGCGCTGCTGCAGTGCGAGTCTCTGGTAAGCTTCGGCTTGTCTGCACGGGCTTTTCGCATCTGTTCGCCAGTGAAGGGACGCAGGCTTTGCACCCGTGGGTTGTGGCTGCTGGCTGAGGCAAGCAGAGTCTTGCCCTCGCTCGCCTTCAACGGTTGTGATGGATCCTTCAGCGCGATGCCTAGGTTCAGTCCGGCAAGCCTGGCATTCTCAATACGCTACTTGCAGAGTGTGATCGAAGTCTTGTCTTGCTCAGGCCGAGCGAAGAAGGACACCTGGGATGAGGTCAAATATATCCTGGAGATTGACATGGCAGGCTTTGGGTTTGGTGTATTCGGTCAGTTAAGGTGGATGTTACCCACTGCTTTCGATAAGATGCGGTAGTTGAAATCACCGCAAGTGGACATCCCGCACATTGTCAGCGCATGTTTGAGGCAGAGAGGATGGCCGCAGTGTGGATCCGCGATCTGTCTCACTGGCATGTTTTGGAAGGAGGCGAGGCAGCAGCAGACTGCTTGAGAAACGCGGGATCTCGGTGCTTCCAAGATCTTGAGGACAACTTGAACGAATTCCGTCAGATTATGAACCGCGAGGCGACGTGTTGTGTCCGTCGACTTCGACGCATGGTTACTTTTCGTCACAGGTGCTTCCAGACCTCGATAATGCCGTCAAGGAACTCTCTGTGTAGTAGTTGTCGCCTTACATGTATTTCATATACTTCATACATGCAGGACTGTGTGTTCGGCGTTATCTCCCTTATCTGGTTGACGCTCGCCCTGGTCGATTCCGAGGAGTTAGCCGCAATCCGTGTCGAGAGTCGAGACAAGTTTCGTTGCACCGAACGGGCAGGAGGGTTTGGAACGAGCGCGGGAACTGGAGGCTTACATTATCGATTGCAATATCTGAACCTGCAGCACCAGCTTGATAAGGCCATTGCTGACGGCTTGTTCTTCCAGTTTTCAGAGCTCGTCGAGGACCAGCGGGTGTGTGCCCGAAACGGACAGGGGCCCTACTAGCCTTATCCAGCCTTGTGACGATATGAAAGACTAGTGAAAGACTGGTTGGAGACGATTTTCGAGATCGGTGGATGCCCTTCAGGAATCTGGCTGGCCGATTGATCCAACGAAGTTTTTCGGCTACAGGCCGAACACGTGCTCATATTGCCAGTTGCAGCGCCCGATTCAGCGAGTGAGAGAGAGAGAGAGAGAGAGAGAGAGAGAGAGAGAGAGAGAGAGAGACTCCAGTGGCCCCACAGTCCGTTGTAGCGGGGGGCGCGCAATCTTCGAGACGGGCAAGTTCACTGTGCTACAACTCGTTGGACAACCTGGAAACTGCAAGAGCCTCTTCCTAGACCTTCTGCAGGGGGAGGTGAACACCTTCTACAGTAAGGACCCTGACCTCTACCAGCCTGAGCTTCGTGTCCATTACCTGGCCGCTGGACGGGGGACTTTCCGAACTCAGAGGTCGTGATAACACAAGCAGGGGGACCTAGTGAAGTTTGCCTTAAAGAATGAGGAGGTGCCAAATATGCCGCGTTGGATCAGGCATCTGCCAGGTGGGGATGCGCAAGCAGCATGAAAGAAGTGACCCGCAATGCAGGTTGCACATGGTAACCCAGCGCAACCCAAGACCCAAAGCACCGGGGCGACACCCAGACGCCGAACCAGCACAAGCAGCCGCAGGGGAGACGACGACCCAAGATGCGAAGACGCTCTTTCGAACCGCAGGGGGACTTCACTTACAGTACAAGGCGGAAGAAACAGACCGGTGGATTGGGAAAACCATCCACACAGACAGTGAAGGACAGTACCGTGACACTGGAACGGGGGAACGACTAAGCCCTCCTGAGGCAACGGCATACGAAAGCTACCTCCATCGGTTATGTGACCGACATCGTACAGGAGAAATGGCAGACAGACTCGTACGCATTGTCGATAAATGGATGCCGGCTGTCTCGGCAGAAAATCGCTGCTACGTCATGAAGTACCCGGCCCAGATCCCTGATATGTTGCAGCGTGCGTGGAAGATCCGAAACAGGATCAAGAACAGAAAAGGGGGGAAGCGGGGGAGGCCATTACCAAGGCCCGCCGCTAAGCCTCCGAATACAGACCAACAGGTGAGAAGGACAGAGCACCTACAGCCAACTATGCCAGAGACACCTCCAGCTACAGACCAACAGGTGAGAAAGACAGAGCAACTACAGCCAACTATGCCAGAGACACCTCCAGACTGGGGGAGGGACAGTGATGACCAGACAAGGAGCAACCAGCCAGAGACTGACGACGAGGGGGATGAAGACCAGCTATGGCAAAGAGCTGGTGAACCTCAGAACTCCCATGGTGCACAACGACCCAACGAGCCGACGGGAGATCCTCCTACTGGACCTGACAGAGACACAACCAGCCACAGAGAACCCGATGGGGGGGAGGAAGATAAAGCTGGCAACATCTTCAGTCCATACGGAGCACAGCGACCCAGCGAACCGGCGGGGGATCCTCCTCAGAGGAACCGCCACTCGAGAACACGGCCCAACGAGCCGGAGGGAGAGCCTTCTCGCAAGCACAGCCGCACTTGGAGGGAGCAGCCACAGGGACCAGTGGGGAGCCCACCGACACGAAGTCGAGTGGACCTTGTACCCAGCATGCAATGGCAAGTCCGCCAAGTTCAGCGACATATGCAGCGCGGTCGGGGAGAATCTTCTTCGGCGAGGTCGAGTGCTGAACACAAGTGAGCGTGAGTGCGGCAAAAATTTTCCGAACTTGTGGCACATGCGGGGGGGGGAGACCTTTGTTGTGTTGCTACTCTGTGCTTGTGCTGTTTGCTTGCCGCTTTCCCACAGTGCCTAATTCATGACGGGCCGCTGGAGCCGTACAACCCTATTGCCATCGGGGCCGTATGCCCCAACCTTGCACCTTTTGTACTTTTACACTTGGCAACGAGACTGAGTCACGCCGCTTTCTGCAACCAAGTTCAGCTTTTCAATGGGAACCTAGAATGCGGGGGAACCCAACGGGGGGACCGCCACTACCTACTGTTACCGACTGTTACCGTACCTCTCGGAAGGGGAACCCGCCGTCTTCGTCACTTGCACGGTTCTACTGTTTTTCGCTGTTGCTTCTTACTTCCAAGGCGGGGGATCCTACGTACAACACTTTGGCCGAAGGGGGACGCAACTCTAGTGACAAGCTGTCTGCGCACTATGTACCCTGCACTCCTAAAATTGTCCTGCACTTAGTTGTCTGTTGTTGTGTTGTACTCGAGGAGTGCTAACCGGCCGCAGCGATTGCGTGGGGGAAGCATGGCTGGCGAGGGACTAAGGAACTTGCTTAAGAGAGCGCGGGGACGAGGCCGGGACGCGCGTTAAAGTACAGGGAGGGTTGGGTCCATCGCCAGCCACACTTCACCATCCACACCAACCGCTTGTACGTAATCACCGACCACTGAAGACCCCAAAGCCTCTTCCACCGTCAAAACGGGGAAGGGGGGGCCTTGGCCCGGGTTCGTGCGCGAACCCATCCCCAGTGAAGTGAAGTGAAGTGAAGAGAGAGAGAGAGAGAGAGAGAGAGAGAGAGAGAGAGAGAAGTACCAGCCCCCCCGCGAAGGCCAAGGACGCGCAGTGGGGGACTCGACAAACCCTGGCAAGCCATACCGCCCCACAGATACCTCAGCGACACAAGGGGGGAACACAAGGGCGGCCAGCAGCAGCAGCACGGCAGCCACACATCCACACCCACAGCCAAGGCAGGAGGGGACTGCAGAAGGACAACCACAACCACAACAACCACACCAGCACCAGCCACAGCAGCGTGCACCCGACTTCAGGGACAGCCGGCCTTTGCGGGGGCAGCAGCCGGAGCCTCCACACCAAAGCAGGGAAGCGGCGCGCAACCAGCAGCCACAAGCACCACCACAACCACAACAACCGCCACAACAACAGCAACCCCACTTCTACACCACAGTTCGCGACGGGAGG